TTGCTCACTTTAAGAACCAAGTTAACAGGCATTTTACATCATTTGTGGTAGGATTTAATTTTGTTAACTAGCTGGAGGACTATTGCCTAAGGCGCAGGGAAGGGAACCTCCCCTCCCCCGGGGGCTGCATCCTTGAGGTAATCAGATTTAGACTGCTTGGCAGTGCCAAAGTGCTTGAAGTCATAGGTCAGTGGTGGCGAACCTATGACATGCGTGCCAGAGTGGGCATGCGGAGCCCTCACTGCTGGCACCGCACACCATCGGCCCATCTGCACTGTTATTTTGTTGGTTTTTTCCATTTGTGCTCCCGGTCCTCCCTACGCTACTGCATGCATCCACTGCTTAAACCCGGAACTTTTTTTATTTTTTCTGCTGGCCGCCAATTGTGTTCGGCAATTGGTCTGTTTTTCTTTCTTTTTAAAAAAATATATTTTTATTAAACAAATTTAGCCAAACAAATTATCAGTCACTGGAACCAATTACATTTCTCCCCCCCCTTTTTTTATTCCCCACCTTCCCTCCCTCTCCCACCCCCTAAGGACTTCCCTCAGCTCCCCTCTCTGATTTGTTTGTACATATTATTCTCTGCATGTTAAAAATTGTACATACCATTGCCTTATCTATCATATATTCTACTAATAAGTTTGTGGATGTTTATTCAAAACCTGCCAAGGAGTCCAAATCATTTTGTTGTTTTTTAGATAGTTTGCAAAAAGTTCCCATTCTTTCTTAAAGTCACAATTGTCCTTCTCATGTAATTTATATGTCAACTTTGCCAACTCCGCATAACTCATCAGTTTTTCTTCCCCTTGTTCTTTCGTTGAGATTTCCTCATTCTTCCATCCTTGTGCTAACAAGACTCTTGCCGTTGTTGTTGCATACATAAATAAATTCTTTGTTTTTCTTGGCAGGTCTCGTCCTAAAATCCCTAACAAAAACGCTTCGGGCTTCCTTACAAATGTCATTTTAAACATTTTTTTCAATTCGTTATATATCATCTCCCAATTTTTTTTAACTTCTCTACATTCCCACCACATTTGATACAAACGATTGGTCTGTTCTTCAATTGGCTGCGGCAGCGGCTGTTTCTGATTCGGTGTAACAGCTATCATTATTTGATCCTCGTGATTTTTTTTCTGCACTTTTTCGATGCTGTGTGGTAGTTCCCAGCTCCCCCCTCCAAGCCAGGCCTCACCCATTCCCATCCGCCCCCCCCTCTAATCCTATGCAGGCCATTTGCCTCCTGTGGGCACAACCTGCCTGGGCTAGGAGGGCACTTGTGCCCACCGCTCCCTGTGCACCTGGCACAACCCAGCCTCACCCCTTTGCTGTGGTGACATTGCCGGAGGGAGGGAGGAAGATGGGGAAGACCATGCTGGGATTGCTGGCGGGGAGCAGGCAGGCAGGCAGGCAGCCACGGCTTTGGGGCTGGCTGGCTGGGGTGGGGTCTCTCCCTCTCCTCCTAGCCGCCGCTGCCCACCTGGCCTCAGGGCTGCTCCGTCCTCCTCGCAGCAGCCCAAGAGTGAGCCAGCCAGCTAGCCAGGGAGCACCCGGCAGGAGGAGGGGGGAGGGAGGGAGATAATTATATATATATCCCGCCCGCCCGCCCTCCCCAGCCGAAGCGGGGCTCAGAGCGGCTAACAATAGTAAAAATAACACAGTTTACATAAAATCACAATCAATTAATCGAAATACATTCTAAAACCAATTCATTCTAAAATCAATTCAGAGTCAAATTAATGGCAACCATTGGGCTAGAGTTCTATGAGGATTACAGAAAGGAGGGGGTCAGACTGTGCCTTGGCCAAAGGCCTGGTGGAACAACTCTGTCTTGCAGGCCCTGCGGAAAGATGTCAAGTCCCGCAGGGCCCTAGTCTCTTGTGACAGAGCGTTCTACCAGATCGGGGCCACAGCCGAAAAAGCCCTGGCTCTGGTTGAGGCCAGCCTAACCTCCCTGTGGCCTGGGATCTCCAAGATGTTTTTATTTGAAGACCGCAAGGTCCTCCATGGGACATAGCAGGAGAGGCGGTCCCGTAGGTACGAGGGTCCTAGGCCATATACGGCTTTAAAGATGGCGAGAACCACGGCGTTTCCCCTCAAAAACGTAGGGCACTTTGCGATAAATAAGTCAGTTTTGGTTTGCTGTTTGGGCACTCGGTCTCTAAAAGGTCCGCCACCACTGTCATAGGTGATGTGGGCCGATCCAAAGTGGGCGGGGTTTGTGTAGTGGGTGGAGTTTTGAAACAAGGCTGAGGGACGCACCAAATGAGACCGAGAGCTGCATGCGCTCCTTGGACCACAGTTTCCTCACCTCAGTCTAGCGTTATTACAGATGCTGCACAACACATGGCTTCAGTAACCTTAATACTTGTTTGTGAGGGGAACTGTGAAGAAACTTAACCCACGAGATTTTAGAGATGACTTTTTCTTTCATGTGTTGTGATTTTTGTCTCCTCTGTGCACAGTAGTTTCTTCATTAAGGTGTGAGGCACAGCCTAGAAGGGTCCAGCATTAGTTTGCAGGCCAACTCGTAGCTGTCAGTTTGGCCAGTTGCTGACCACAGCTTTATTTATACTCGGTGGTGTGCAGGTTTTTCCCTACTAATCAAGGTAGGTTAGAGATGGAATTTCAGCACGATCCAAATGCCACTGGTATAATTCACACTTATTGACTATGTGGTGCACCAAATCGGACTGTCCTGTTGGCAGACTAAATGACCTCTTTATGAGGATCACTAAGGCAGCAATTCATGCAAGCCTATCAACCCTGACCGGGGTTAGCCCTCTACTTGAGAGTCTTCAAGCAGCAATGCTGTGGACTGAAGCTTTTCCACACGTGAAGACTGACTGTCCTACCCAGGGCTTTTTTTTCAGCCGAAGCTCAGGTGGGCGCCATTGCCATTCTAAGAGAACAAAGGACAAGTTAATGGTGAGCTTTGGCACCTCTTTTTCTAGAAAAATAGCACTGGTCCTATCACTGATAAGTCTTTTTATCCACTAGCCTGAAGTGAGACTTACCATGACCCCACTTTCCTATACAGCGTTGTGCATTTTTGTCTCATTTTTTAAAAACAAAACTTCTGTACGTTCTTTGTCTACTGGCAAGCTACTGCAACCTTTGGCCCTTAGCTATATTTCCCCTCAGGCTTGGGGATCATCTTATGCGATTAGATAGCTTTGAATGTTTTGCTCCACATTTTCAGTTTGGTGTGACATTTCCAGTGGTTTTGACAGAGCCCTGCAGAATGTCTCCAGTTCTTGCTGGGGCCTCTGCCTCGTCCTGCTCAGACAAAATGAGCATTGATCGCTGCCTTCTGGGTCCAGCCACATATAAACAGAAAGGGCCTTTTGAGTTCCTCCAGAGCCCGCTTAGGGGGGAAAACAGGACATGAATGGCAACATCAAAGAAAATGTAGTTTTCTTGGAATCTCACCTGAGAAGGCATCTGAGGGGCACCGTCAGGGGAGGGTCTGGGTTCCTGTCTATCCTAGTTCCAGGGCTGTGTGTCCTGCCTGTGAAAGTCCTGGCAGGGAAAGTCTGCCGGGGGAGTGAGAAGCTAACATTGTGGGCAGGGAGAAGATTGCCAATAACGCAAAGGCTCCATTAATCCTGCAACTGTGCTCAGTGCTTGGCCTCTCCCTGGACTCACCAGATGTTTAAAATATTTGCAAGCTTTTTTCAATCTGTAAATTCTTCAGCAGGCAGAAGCCTCCAAGAGCAAAAAGCAAAAGAAGAATTGGTTGTATTGTATCGTCTAAACTTGAGAAGCTAAGGTGATCAGAGCAGGCTCTAGAGTGCAAATAGGCCTTGCATGGAAAGACTGGGCCCAGTTTCTCAAGTCATTTGCAGTGAAAAAAGTTGTGACAAATATACCCCCTCCCTGTGGAAAAACACATTTGCCACCAATCAAAGGTGTATTTCAAGCGCTCCAGTTCCATCTAGATTTCCAAGGACTCATGCAAGACATTGAGCAGTTGAGCCTAAACAACACAACACAAATACCTGAAGCTGTACCCTTTTCTATCCAATCATATTTCCTTATTTCCTGTTTATTGCAGCCTTATTTTTCCTAGCTTTTAAAAACTGTTTGTGGGCAAAGCATGATATGTCATGGTAGAAAAGGTTTTAGGTTTATGGTTCTTAAGGGTTTCTAGTGACCATTATATGGACCACTTGGGGTTTCTTTTATCCCTTAAAAAGATGGTTTGAATTTTTAAAGTATATGAATACTGTGTACTCCCCCTCTTCAGCTTTGCCATGCTTATTTCTCCATTTTTCCACTTAAGCAAAAAGCAAACACAAGTACAACAAGGTTCCCCCCACAACATGTATGGGTAAGATTATCATGCTAATACGTATTTTTGTAACTGAAAGGTAGAGCATGAAACCACATGAACTGCCGTAACTGACTGTGCCCAAATGGCAAGCCTTGTGGGGCCAATTTTGGTCAAACTGTCAACAGAGCAAACAGAAAGAAGATGGGCAGAGATGATGTAAAGTTTAGAATGAATATTTCGAAGCACCATTAGGTGTGGCTGGAGGTTGCAGGCTCAGAACTAAGGGAGAACTGAACAGCTCTGATGACTTTATCCAGCAGAGGGCAATGCAACCCATTCTTTTGCTACCACTTATTAAGATGTACTTGTTATTGCCTAGGGAAGGAGGAAGCCTTAATGAGCCTTTCAGCATCCCAGTGTTAATTAATTAATTTATTTTACAAACCTAATTATACACCACTAATCATTAAAAAAAATCAAAGGGTGTTTTTTTTGGGGGGGTTTACACTAATTGTGCATAAATCCATATTAAATAGTTAAAATCAGAAATTGACTATTATGGAAGGATAAAGCCTGCATAAGTCTAATGGAATAGAAAAGCTTACAGCTGGTGTTCAAAATTTGAAACAGGGTTCCTGTTGAATCTCTAGTGCCAGAATTTAAGAGGCTGTGGTCCGGATAGTCTGAAAAGATTAACTGGGCTTTTGTGTGTGTGTTGTTCTAGCAGAATACCCCCAAGGACCTCTCCCAACGCTATGGAATGACCCACCAGAGCTGCCATCGGGTGGAGGGCCCGCAGAAACCACCACCACAGCCCGCTTCTCCGACTCTGCAGGATTCCCACCATACACTTCTGATTATGAACCAGAGGACACAACCCATCTGCACCAACTGGATAATGGGAACGGTACATGTTATTGGAGATGGGGTGCTAAAACAACACAGCTTTGGGCGGGAGGGTGGCGCTGTGTGAGGTCACAAAAATTTGCTATGTTGGGATGGCAGTACTGGAAACCATCATTTCCTTCTGATGCAACAAATTTTAACACGATTTTGGAAGAGTAGTAAAACGTCTCATGAAATACTGCAGTGGATGACTAAAACAACCACCACCACTAGCAGTTTTGCATTGTTCTGTAAAGCAGAAATACAAAAGAAACAGATTTCCATTTTATTGATGCACCATAAACAATACCATTCCTTTGGCATTTAAGAAACTCACTTTCTGCTCCAATGATAAAAAGGTAAAGGACCCCGGACGGTTAAGTCCAGTCAAAGGTGACTATGGGGTGTGGCATTCATCTCGCTTTTCAGACCAAGGGAACCAGACCAGTGTTTATCCACAGACAAACGCCAGCTCCCTTGGCATGACCACAGACAAACGCCTGGTCATGTGGCCAGTGTGTCTGAAACACTACTGGCACATGGAGGACTGTGACGAGTGCCAGAGTGCATGAAAACACTTCCCGCTGCAGCAATACCTATTTATCTACTTGCACTGGCATTCTTTTGAACTGCTAGGTGGTCAGAAGCTGGGACAGAGCAACTGGGACAGAGCAACGGGAGCTCACCCCAAGTCAGTGAAGGAACTTTTCTGACATCCCATTGCGCGGATTCGAACTGCCAACCTTCTGACTGGCAAGCCCAAGAGATGTCCTAAGAACATGGGGTGCCAAGTTGGCACTCCTTGTGCTGGATAATGGCTGCATTCAGTCTTAATGCTAGATCATAATTTATCCTTCATGTGCAAAAATCTCAGTCTCTTGTTCTTCCTTCACTTCCTCTGGCTCTGCCACTTTAAATGACCCACAGTTATTCACTATATCTAAACCCAGCCAAACTGTGGTTTGTGTTAACTATAGCATAAGGAAACAAGCAATCTAAAGTTGACACTACTTTTATTTATTATTATTTATTAAATTTGTATACTGCCCTTCATCCAAAGATCTTGGGGCGATTCACAGCAGAAAAATTACAGGATAAAACAAAAAATGCACGATAAAAGCCAGAACATTGACAAAAGAAAGCAATAACCCACCCACCCACCTGACTTAGGATTTTGGATTTTTCTGAATAAATCATGTAAGATCCTTGATAAATAGAGAGAACAAAACACATACAACCCCAGTGATCTGCTGCATATCTGCCTTAAATTCTTAAAACTCCTGGTATAATTAGAGATCATTGTTTACTCCTGCTTGCAACCAAAATCAAATCTGTTTCTTCTGTAGACGTAAAGAATGACACAACAGAGCCATTTCTTTACCTTCCCTGTGCAGCTATTCCCCAAGGAATGTCAGTGCAGCATTCTAGTCTCAGACTTTCTCCCTCAACCAGCAACTGAGAGTATGCATGATGTCAGCAAATGCGTCAAGAAGGGGGAAGAGCCATATATGGCCCCTTATCCTCTGACCTAGATTGGCCCACCCGCTAACCACTGGCTTAGGGGATCTAGCACATGGGCTTTATACACGGCATTACTTAAGAGAATGATCCAGTACAATCCAGTGTTGTTTTCCTGGTGCTGTACTTGTTAGCAAAGATGTATGGTGGGAAAGACTGTGTATTTCCTGCACATGTTTTTCAGAGGCACTTTTCTGTTCTCCTCAACCTGTCTGCTTCCCCTCCCCTCCTCTTTGTCACCTACAGGGTCTCTGGGTCCTGGAGCCATTGGTGCCATAGTGATCGCTGCTCTGCTGGGCACATCTGTGATTGTGGCCCTGATCGTCATCACCCTGCGAAAGTTTTCTGCTTCCTGAAATCAATAAAAAAAGGTCCTTTTTCCTAATATACACCTGTCTGAGCCCTTTCCTTCTTCTGCAGTTATTGCTTTCTGTCTGTGAAAAGGAAAAAACCAAGTTCCTCTAGCACCTGCGTTTTCCAAATGTTATAGGATAAGCCTGTTTTTTAACCTCCTGGGATCAGAACCCCTTTTCTAACACAAATACTTTTAAAACATTTAGTGATGGCACAAGTGGGATTTAGAGTGGGGACTGAGGGACATGTGTACACAAATTGAGAAGCTGCCATGAAGTCAGAGTTTCTTGACATATATATATATATATATATATATATATAGTGTGTGTGTGTGTGTGTGTGTGTATGTATTTGTGCCACTAATCCAAATGCGATAAATTGTGTGCATTGTTTTAAAAGTCACATTAACTTGGCACGTGTGCTCGAATGCATCTTTCCAAGCTCTTGCTACAGCTAGAATAAAACTGTAATCAGATTATTGACTTTCAGCTTCTGTAGCAGTAGCTGGGGGTGGGCGCCTGGTATATTTTATTTATTTGTGGAATGCCTGGTCTTATGTTTTGTTTTTGTTTTGTTCTGTTTTTAAATACAGTCATACCTCGGGTTACAGACGCTTCAGGTTGTGCGTTTTCGGGTTGCACACTGCGCCAAACCCAGAAGTACCAGAACAGGTTACTTCCAGGTTTCGATGCTCACACGTGCGCAGATGTGCTAAATCGCACTTTGCACATCTGCAGAAATGCCAAATTGCGACCCGCGCGTGCTCAGATGCAGCACTGCGGGTTGCAAATGTGCCTCCCGCATGGATCACATTCGCAACGCGAGCGTCCACTGTACCCTATTTGCTCTGGCTTTCATTTAATGGCTCATGCCACCAACAAGCCTTATTAGTATGACCTGGATATAATATTTGAGGGAGGTGGGGGGAGCGAGATTAAAAAGCCACCTGCATTGACTCCTGTTTGGGTTAAGCAGGCACCTCTGCTTACTTAGATACAAATATGTAGCACAGGGGTGACTGAGGAACATGTTGCCTCAACTAGATCAACCTTAGCAAAAAAAATTAACAACAAAGCAAATTACTGTGTGTGTTTGTTTGTTTTTTATGATGGCAGACAGGTAAGCTGTTGGATGTCCATGGAAAACCAGTGAGGGTTTTCACCTGAATAAATGGTATGGTTATGTTTGGCAAGCAGGCATTGCCAAAAAAAGAAAAAAGGAAAAAAAAGATATATGAAGCAAATCAGAGAGGCCGGGGCTAAACAATGACTTTTGAAAAGCTTGGCACTGTTTCATTTTCTGCATAGCTAAGAATTCAGGAACTATATGACACTGTCAGGAATGGCTTTTAGGTTACAAGAGGAAAAATGCATGGATGGCTCTTGCTTTTTTGGTAGAAAAATATATTGCCTATTGGTTATCTATGTTTGTTTATATAAAGTGTGTTTTTTAAAAAAAACAAACCAGCCCAATGGCAGACAGAATTGGATTTGAAAAGGCAGAACATCATTGGTCTCCTGGATGGACCAAGCAGCTGGTCAGGTCCAGCTCAGCTTTATTGAAGCTCATATATAGAGCCCTGTTCAGTTGTTAGTCAAGTACAAAGCTCCTGTGTGGCCCTGCCTTCAGCCTTCATAAGTACAGCCTGCGCCACCACATTTGCTATGTGCGAAGCCAGAAGGAACAAGTACAACAAGGGGCTGGGCTAAAGGTGTGATTCCACAGCCCTTTGTTAACGAGCTGAATAGAGTTGTTGTCTTACCCCCATCCATCTCCATCCATTAATAAAGAGTGATGCAAGGAAAGAAATTCTCTGATAAACATGTAGACATGTAAAGCTGTTAAAACATTCTGCAAAGAGGTTTTGGGGATTATACATTGCACATTGTACATATAGATCACCCTGCATGACTCAAAAGTTAGTACTTCTTCCTGTATTATATTGAGAGGATTAGCAGCAGCTTCTCTACAAGGAGATCATCCTATTCTGTTTACATGACTAGAATGAAGGCTGGTAGATACTGGAAAAGCTTCTCTAGATGTTCAATCCAGAACTGAATCCATAGAACTGAAAATGTTAAATGTATTAAAATAGACCAGCAGGAGAGGGCACAGTTAAAGAGATTCCTTCAAAACATGGTTTCTTTTCATCTCTCAAGTCAATAAATATGTGCCAGGGATTCTTTTTCCATCATTGTATTTATTCTTTTGGGAAGATTATAATGTAATTATGTTGCATTCTAGTCTAGAAATACTTGTGGCTGCAGTCATTTGTATGTGTTATGTGCTAACCCACCTTTGTTTTGTCATGCTACAATATGTACACTTGTGCTTCAATAAAATATTATTTTAAAGGTCTGAATGTAAGAAGCGGATTTGGAAAATAAGCCACGTTCCCATACAATGTAATTAAATCTGTGGACAGTATGTGCATGTGGTTAGTTAGTACATTCATGTTTATGACTACAGGGTGAAGTAGGTGAGAGCTAGCTGCTGGAGAAATCAAAGTACTGAAAGCTGCTTGTTTGGCCATTTCTGTTTTCATAGTAAGAAAAAATATTACCTCCCTCTCCTACATTTCATTCTGGTGGTGTTATAATGGCCTGCGATCCCAAGGTCTATGCTTGTGTGTAAAAATACACCAAGCTACCTAATTCTGGTAACTGGAGGAAGTTAATTGGTACACTGTGTAATTCAGCACTCAAAATTACAGCAATCTGTTTTTGCGTTTCTCTGAGACGTTTTGTTAAATTAACAGGATTGGTTAAGTCTGGTGAATGCCAGGAGCTTTTTGCTTTCCATAACTCAGCTATTGGGTAACCTTAGCCTTGTACAGTTCAATATGCTACTCCTTGGCTGTGGGTGTTAAAAATTCATTTGTAAAAAAATCTCAATTTCTGGCAATAGTGTAATGCTACGGGCATGGCTGAACAGTGCAAGTGAAAGCTGTGCATGACTGAATGATCAGGAATGTTAGTTACTATCATTGCCTTACTGCTAAATGTTATGTATTTTATTGCATTTCTAGCCTACCACTTCTCCAAGGAGCGCAAGGTTTCACCACCGTCTCGTTTAATATCCATAACACCCCTGTGAGGTAGGTTAGGCTGAGAGGCAGTGACTGGTGAGCTTCATGGCAGAGTGGGGATTTGAACCCTGGTCTCCACCACACTGGATTGACTTTAAATTAAGTTAGTTGCATGTAAGTAAGAGCTGAAAGAGGTTCAAAAAGTGTTCCCAATAGAAATTTACAAGATACGTGTCCTTGGCTGCTTTGCCATTTTCTATCAGCTGCCTTTATCCATTGGGCAAATGGTGATTATATATCTGGGCCAAAAAGATGTGGGAAGACTGTTTGGTCACATTTTTTGTGAACAAATCTAAATAGCACCTTTATTTCTCAGTTTATGTGCTTATACAAGTTGCCTTGACGGCCTGATTTGGGATGAAAGGCAATCTTTTAAAAAAACACAGCAAAAGTTGAGCAGAATCAAAGGTTTTGCAGAAGGTCCTAGGTCCAGTCCCTGGCATTTTCAGCTGAAAGGCAGGTAGGTAGGAGACCTTGAGGAGCTGTGACCAATCTGAGCAGATAGTACAAAGCTGGGTGGAGCAGCATGACTCAGTATAAAGACAGTATAAGAACAAGTGATTCATACATTCATAACCTTGTGAACTAGCTCGAAAAAGAAAAATGCAGTGTACACAAGCCCTTGTGCAAGGAGCCTCTTAACACAGAGCATTGGGGAGCGTTGCTATTAAATAAATACTCCTTATCCATTATTATTTATGTAACACTTTTAATATGCAAAGTGCTTTACAATCTTTTAATTTCTCGATCTCTGTCTCATGGTTGACTCTATAATTGTCCTTAGTCAAATGTTCTCTATTGTGAATCTTCTCTCTCCCTTCCAGAGAAGCATCTTGTTGCCAGTTGTAACTTTTGCAGCAAAGGAGAAGATATTTCCTGGCTTTGTAAGCATTTATATACACCAGATTGAAAGTATTATACATAGAGTTCATGTGTACAGCTGAGGAGCAATGCCCAGCTGACATGCAACAGGCCTTCCTATTGCATTAGTAAAACTTTTGCAGACAACATTTAGTACAAAAGCATGCCATCTTGTCCCTCAAGCCTGTTGTTGTTGCTGCCTAGTGGCCTCTGTTCCTCTTTGAATGAGCATTTGGTCCATAATCAGTTTAATCCACTTGTATTGACAAGGATGCATTTCATTCAAAACTCTCTGAACTAGACAGAAATATTATTTGAAATACTGTTATCAGAGTCCGTATATACACCAGGGTAATTACGCAGAAATTTGCTGGCCCTAGCTGAGTTCTTTAGCTCTCCAGATTTAGCATGGATATAGAATGTCATGCATGCCTTGAGCTGATTCTCCACTCCTTGGGGGTTTTTTTGTCTCTCCCCCCCCCCCCGATGAAAAATTCCTTAGTATGTGCAACAGAGCTAAGTAGTGAATACTATGGGATACTGTCAGTGCATTTGTTCAGGGCCTAAGTCTGTACTATCCACTCAGCCACCCTCTCAATATTTAGACATAGTTTATGATACCTACCATTGGCTCTCTCAAAGAACTTTGTTGTAAAACTTAAATGCAGTCAGATGGGAATCCTATATGCACTTACCTGGGAGTAAGGCTCATTGAACTCAATAGGTCTTACTCCTGAAATGACATCTATAGGATTGCATTGCTAGTAATTATGATAGTTTGCACTTAGGATATGGGTCCAGGTGGTGAATTGCACGGCTATGAGAAACAGTGAATTTCCAGTCCTTTCCTATTTTAGGTCAGGGATGGAGAACCTCATGCTTAGGTGTGGGTGTGTGGAATACCTCTTTACCCTTGGGACTTTCACCAGCTATGGCCCCCTTGACTGCTTTTGCCTGACTTGAAATGTTCAACTGCGATAATTCCTCTTCCTTGCCTAGATGGAGAGCAACATGTGTAGGGGATCTCTGACCTCTATAAAGTTGGAATGTAGGTTCATCCCAGCTTTTGCTCTGCCCACTTTTGTCTATAGCCATGTTCATCCCTCTTGTATGGCCCCCGGAAGTTGCTCATGAAGCAATACTGCCCTTGAGCTAGGAGAGGGCTCACACTCCTGTTTGAAACCATGCAGCTTCTCTATGTCAGTATTCTCCTCTGCAGTTTCCTGCAGGGTAGCCCAAGAGTACAGTGTAAATAATTTTGTGGAATATTTTGTAGCACAGAAGACTATGCTTTGCCATAATTTTTTTTTACCTCTGTTAAAGAATCACCAATGCATTTAAAGTATCACCAATGTGTTTATTTATAAGGGATACCTGTTGATGTGCCTGTGTGGGTACTCCAAACTCAGTACCTACAGAGAAACTTCCTGAGTGTAGAAGTGTGTATACCGATACTGTGCACACTTTCAAAGGTGGTGCGCTCCTGTGCGCCTGGATTGCACACTGGAAAATCAAATGTGCCACTTGATGGAATATTAAAGAATCAGGCTGCTAACCTCTTGGGCCTTGTTGTACTTTTTTTCCAGTTGATCAGCATTCACTGTTTCCTTACCATGCAGAGTTAAGAGATTTACACTCTTTGCAATACAATAGGAAATTACATTTTACAGCTCCTAGTTCTGTACAGGCACACGACAGCCTCACCTCTTTTCAAGTTTGTCTTCAGAGATATTATCCATGGTGCATCAAGTATGCAAAGAAGTTCATTAGCTTGGAGGAGAGAGGACTTGCTTGACAAAAAATGATATTTGTGCCACCTTCCGTTGTCTCAGCATCTGACATTCATTGTTTCTGAAATACAACTGCCCAGAACTGTGTGCAGTGATCATTGTCTATTCCTGCTGCCCATCTTCCTCCGCTGACTATCATCTGTCTTGTGTACCCGGAAGCACTCCTTTAAGTTTTGAGATCGAATCTTGGGGTTCATAATCTCTTCACCCATGGAGCTGGGGAACCAACCTCTCTCTTGATCATGCAAACGCTCCCCAAATATCCAACCTAGATTTTTTTGGAAAAGGATGATTGTGGGTGGAGAAAACATAATAGTGGCAGCTCAGTAAAGGAGCGATGAGTTAATGCAAGCAAGGTTCAAAACTGGTACAAGAAGGGAAGTTATACAACAATCATATCAGAATATATTAAGGGAAGCTGGTTACATAATATTTTCCGTGTGAAGCAGATGTTGCAAATTGCAACGGCTTATAAGAATTCTGCTTCACTGGGACCGCAATGCTTTGGCAATCCGAGTGAAAAAGAGAGTATGAAAAATAAAAAAATAAAAATGCATTGGCCCTCATTCATTTCCTGACAACCCAATTAACAGGTCATATACCACCATCTGAGGAGCACTGGAACATACTGTACAATTAGTCCTTAATGCTGCAAGATATTTACTTCCTACACAGTTCCCCTGTTATGATTTTGTTGTGCATTTGTGCCTGCATTAAAACCCAAATATGGACACTTCTTACCATCGTCTGTCTTTTCCAGGATGTTAAGTACATCAGCCAGTTCCAGCGACAGCTCATCTGGCTGCTGAGCCACATAAGGATGGACACACTGTACTTGAGGGCAATCTGCAAGTGGAAAAGGGAAATTACTAGTTTGCAGGACCCTTTATGAATACTATAAGGTAGAAATGGGAGGGTGTCTGCTACTAAAGTAAGTGTGTGTGTGTGTGTGTGTGTGCGCGCGCGCCCAACTGCTGTAGCATATAGTGACCAGGCCTTTTACCTCTCTGGTCAAGGGCTTAGAATAGCAAACGTCTGTAGCATAACCTTCATAATTTCTGTTGCCTGTATTACTGTAGCTACAAAGGAACCACCTTAGAGAAAAAATGGTAAGCTAGTTAGGCTGTGTCATCTCAGCAAATAATTCAACCAATGGGCCAGTGAGCGCAATGGCTGATCTTGGGGACAGTTACATCCTCAGTCAGAGGTTTTGAGAAATGCATAGAATCTCATATAAGAGGGGAAGGGATCTCAGATTAGCTTCTTGCACTTGGGTGTAACATGGAACGGTACTGATGGGGGACTGAGATGACTGGGCAGCAGACAAATATGGAACAGTGATGTTGATGTAAAATTCTGCACACAAGAAAAGGGTATGTGATCTCTTATTGAACCTTTCCGTAAAGGGATATGAAGCTGACTTCTCGGCTTCACAAAAATTTGCTTCAGGGCACACAATTTAAAAATGAAGCTTAGAATGGAATTTTGTTCTGTAATTAGGACCTGATCTGCCTTTGCATCCTCAAACTGACATTGCTAGAACCTAACCAAGAGCAGTGATGTGCTCTTAGAATCCATCTGGATGACAACTTTCTATCATTCCCTCCTTTTCCCCCTTGCCCTCCTTACCCATGAGCCTGGATGTAAAGGAAACAAACTTGGTTCGCCGATTCGGAGCCAGCAAGATCATCCAGCGCTTCATTTCACTTCTGCATTGGGAATAAAACAGGAGAGAGAGCGGCAATCAGTGTTTTCCATGTAATTTGGAAAGGGTCCGTGGAATCTGACTTGCCACATAGGAGTCCATAAGTGACTTGCAAAAATTTACAAACATAAAGGACAAATAAATCCACTTTCTGCATTCTGTGCCATTCCTGCGTTTCTGTCTTACTGCCCCTGCCCCTACTTTAATGGTAAAATCCATGTGTTCTCTCTCCCTTTCCTGTCAGCTAAGTCGATTAAGTGTCACTCATTCACGCATCCTGACTCATGTGCTCCCACTCACTGGTTAGAAAGTCATGCACAAGCTAAGACAATAAGGAGTTCAAGACAAATCCATGAACTCTACTGAAAGAGCTCAGCCATGTTTCAGAATCCCTTGACAGAAGACTCATTCCTCTACCCCATTTTTCACCTTCGTTTTTCATGTATTATTTTCTATAAATACCTGGAACAGTCATTCCCTTTCTTAGGGTTAAAGTGGATATGATATGGGAGATCTGGGATGCTTGTGTCCCTGAGAAGAACAGGGGTCCGGGAAGAAAGAGCCCAGTTTAACCCCCTCTTTGTCTCCCTTTTTGCAGTTTAAAGAACAATAGGTTTGGGGTCTCTGGCTAGTCTCAGTGACTGTAGGGTTTCCTGAGCCAAATTCCCTTTCCAGTAATAGCTTTGTGGACAAAAGTGAAAAGGAATATGTTCTCCATGTTCTTTTGGAGTCACAAAATTTGAGCTCAAGGGGTGAAGCCATCTGTAGCAATCACACAGGGTCCCCGGACGTTTCACTGTCTATTGATCCCTGTGCCACCACTTTATTTCTCGCTGCCACCACCCAGGCCCTACCTGGTACAATACTGAGTCCAGTCAGGGTTAAATTGGAACATAAACTTCTGTTTATTTATTGCAGTTTAACAAGCGTGCGGTTTCATAAATGGTATCGGTCAATTACATTCATGGGGTGCCTATCCATACCTATAACTTCCGCTACCTGCTCTCACTCACTAAACCAGTGTTTCCCAACCTTGGGCCTCCAGCTGTTTTTGGACTACAACTCCCATCATCCCTAGCTAGCAAGACCAGTGGTCAGGGATGATGGGAATTGTAGTTCAAAAACAGCTGGAGGCCCAAGGTTGGGAAACACTGCACTAAACCACCTCTCAGATTTTTACTTGTCTTCCTAGCCCCTAACTTGGCAGGGGGTTGGACTCAATGGCCCTTGTGGTCTATTCCAACTCTATGATTCTATGATTCTATGTTCCTGACCCAGCTACACTAACTCAACCTACCCACAGACTCTATCCCAATTCACTCCCACTCCAGCCAACCACCCAACTCCCAACAAACTCCTCCCTTCACCCCTCCCAGAGCTGGTTTTATAGTCCCTCTGACTCCACCCCCTGGGTTCTGATTGGGTAACCTGTTTTAACTATTTCACCTCCAGCACTCTCATATGTTAACGTCACACCACCTTCCTTGTTCATTCTCTGAGTTAAAGAGCAGCTTTAGGGTCAAAAAAAGTGGGGGGGGGGAAGCATGCAGCAACTTCTTCAGTCTACTGGAATCATTGCGTAGGCTGGACAGCTTTTGCTGCTGCTTCTCTGGTCAAGCCAGGCACTTCCGGGTTTAAGCAGAGGAGCAGCTGAGGTTGTGGTTGTCTTTGTCGCTTACTCCAGGGAACCAGGAAGGGAGCGAGGGACAAGGTTTTTACAACAAAAGGAAGAAATATTTTCTCCTATTTCCCATGTCCTCCATCTGCAACAGTTTGTCGGTAATGCACGTTAACTGAATAAATTCTCTGCTCAAATGGGTGTTGGACTAGAAAGAACACTTCAAGTGCCAACTTTTCTTAATCTATCGTTAGCAACATGCTTAATTTGGAGCAGAAACAGTGCTTCCCACACTGCTAGGTGTGAAATTTTGCAAAGAAGCGCTGGAAAGAAATACAAAGTTTTGCATCATGCAGGATTTGGGGTAACAGTATGAAAGATGAACATATTTGAATATGCCATCTGCACACTGGGAGGATGGATATTATTATTATTAATTATATTTACCGTATTTTTCGCTCCATAGGACGCACTTTTCCCCCTCCAAAAATGAAGGGGAAATGTGTGTGCGTCCTATGCGGCGAATGCAGGCTTTCGCTGAAGCCTGGAGAGCGAGAGGGGTCAGTGCGCTCTCCAGGATTCACGCAGATCTCCGCAAGGCGCCGGAGTCCGGTGCTGGGCTCCCACGGCTTGCGGAGAGTTGCCTGTTCTGGGGGCTGGGGAAGCTCGGGCTTCCCCCGCCCCAGCCCCACGCCTGGGGGAAAATAATTCCCCCCCCCCTTTATTTCCCCCCCAAAAAACTAGGTGTGCCTTATGGGACGGTGCGTCCTATAGGGTGAAGAATATGGCACATACCGTCCTTCATCAAAAGATCTTAGGGCAGTTAACAAGATAGTTACTACCATCTGTTTCTAAGCTTCTGTACCTTCCAAAATGATATATTTTATGTACGTAACATTTATTGTGCTTAGCACATAGGCAGTTACAGTTTATATTCCTATAGGATTACTTGAAAACGTACTGCAGTATTTCCTGGGGTCCATGCATTTAATAATCTACAAATAGTCATTCATATAGGACAAAATGAGGACAGAGGTGAGGGAAGGCAGAATTTGAATGCAGTTTTGGAGCAGATTTCTATGGTCAACATACCTGGGGCGATATTTTTGCCATTAGTTCAATTGGCCAGAATTCAGTCTTTGGGTGTTTCAATATATTCTCTCCCTTGGGTGTTTTCTCCACCACTGGAGTGTGTGTGGAGGCGTGAATATTTTGTTCACGGCTACAGTATGAGTTCATAGGACAAACAAGAAGCCTCCTTTGACACCAGCCTGCCTCTCCCTCTTTGTCTGCAATAGGGAGGGCAAATTCATTCTAGTTCTGTGGGAGGGACTGGAGACTGCATTTCCTGTACACAAGCAGACTATATGACAGAGTCACCAGTGCTGGGAAACAAATTACCCTAAAGCGTTGCAGAAGACAGAGCTACGCAGGATGTTGACAAGGGGCAAGTGAACTCACTATCAACACTGTCATTTAGAAGACAGTCCCCATCAAACATGATGCCTATTGAACAATGTCTGTGCCTGCTTATAAAGATAGGTAAAGTCATCCCAAGAGCAATAATAGTTCAGAATCTATGATCTTAGTGGGATCATGTGCACAATCTACAATTTTTCCAGAGATTGCCTCGTTATGCTTACTGTGAAGATGCCTTTAGCATGTAGCTGACTTCGCGGTCATCTGCATTTTCCAGCAGTCTCAGGATGAAGACATTCGCCAAGCTCTGCCCTTGGTCTTCCAGCTCCTCCACCCGTAGAAGTCCTCGGGGTGCAGAGTCAAACACCTGATATTTGTCACTGAGAGAGAAAAGAAAGGTGTCAGATACACTAGTTATAGCCTAGGCTGGGGTATAAGCAGGGCCTAAAAGATGGGGCAGAGAAATAGGTGACTACATTTCTCATAGGCAAAATATTCTTTCTGAAGAATGTATGGCTTAGTGTTGAAGGAGTAAACTACACCTGAAACTGTTATCTGGGATAACAAAATCTTGCTAAGCATGCTCGGGAAGAGATTATTTGCATCTGAAAAGGGACAGCAGAGACAGGAGGGGTTAACTCTTCTTGAGTCATATACTTCCTTCTGAAACTTTCCCCAAGCCAGCTGTTTAACCCCCTGCCAGTGTTCCATAGTCCTTTTTTTTTTTTTTTTTTTACAAACATGAAGTGATTAGAAAGGGGAAAGTTAGGCACACACTTCCCTCATGACTCTCCTCCGATGCAAGTTTTCTCTTCTCAAGGACAGAATGCACCGTATCTTTATTCTAGAGGTGAGGAACATGTGATCTCCAGATGTTGCTGGACATCAACCCTGACCAGTGTCCCTGCTGGCTGAGACCAACAGCCTTTGGAGAGTCACAAGCTCTTCACCCCTGCTTTAGTCCTTGCCTAACAATTTGAAGGGAGGATGGGACGCAAAGGTAAAGAATTGTCTACTTTAAAAACCCAGAACAGCAGAATAAACATCTGCCTTTGCTTACCGTATTTTTCGCTCTATAACACACACCCGACCATAACACGCACGTAGTTTTTAGAGGAGGAAAATCCGTAGGCATGCCACCTGTAGGCATTCCCTCCATCACACTCACAGACATTTCCCCTTACTTTTTAGGAGGAAAAAAGTGAGTGTTATGGTGCAAAAAATACGGTAATTCTTTACTATGAGCGCTGAAAATTCGTCTACAGCTGCTTGGGCAGCACATCAATAGATTAAATTAACAATCAGAAACTATCTCTGGCAGGATTGAGACCGATCCAACTGAGGCTGAATAAACATAGTACAGCTCAAATTCTGTTCCTCTCTGTTTCAAACTCACCTAGAAATTTGTCTGCAGAGCACTAGCAAATCATTGAAGAGGAACAAGTAGACTTCTCTGAAGAGCTTCTTTGTGCGGAGGGTACGTGATGTTTTGGGGCCATTCATTTGCTGCAGTTCTCCCTGCTTTAGCAGCCAACGGGAGTGAGAGATGATGGGCACAGACTAACGAAGGAAATAAAATAATAATCAGGAGCACTGCAACATAGCATCTTATGGCAATCCCTCTGAATTCACTGCAAAGGAAAGCTTTAAAAATAAACTATACAGAAGCTATGGATCCAGGTAGAACCTAATAAGAGCTTGCCCATCGACTCCAGTATCCTGTTCTCACACTGGCCAAACAGATGCCAGTGGGCAAACCACAAACACAAGAGCACTATCCTCTCCTGGGGTTTCCAGCAACTGTCAATGTTAATTTGTGTCTGTCAACTGGGGAAAAAATGTAAAATGTTGATCAGCAGTATTTAGCATCCCTTTAAGATACCAAAATATGAGAAAGCGGTTTTTGTCAAAGTCTGGAGAAGTGGCTTTATTGCAGAGGACTTCGTTCATATATAAAGAATATGACTTCGTTCCTATTTAGCAGTATCTATCAGGCAAGGTGGGACGCAGGTGGCGCTGTGGGTTAAAGCCTCAGCGCCTAGGGCTTGCCGATCGTAAAGGTCGGCGGTTCGAATCCCTGCGGCGGGGTGCGCTCCCGTCATTGGGTCCCAGCGCCTGCCAACCTAGCAGTTCGAAAGCACTTCAAAGTGCAAGTAGATAAATAGGGACCGCTTACAAGCGGGAAGGTAAACGGCGTTTCCGTGTGCGGCTCTGGCTCGCTAGAGTAGCGATGTCACGCTGGCCACGTGACCCGGAAGTGTCTCCGGACAGCGCTGGCCCCCGGCCTCTTGAGTGAGATGGGCGCACAACCCTAGAGTCTGGCAAGACTGGCCCGTACGGGCAGGGGTACCTTTACCTTTACCTTTATCAGGCAAGGTACTGGAAGAGTAGATTCAACTAAAAAGATATGAATCAAAGTATATGAAACACTATTAGACCCAGTATGACCTGAAGGGAAAGACAGAGATGTGACCCAGAAGTTACTACAAATCAACTGTGCATAGCCAAAATTAGTTTAGCAGTGAATTTCAAAAAAGCTATCACTCTTTGGCTTAAAATCTGTTTAAAGAGGATCTGTGAATAGCCGAGATTGCCAAAATTACAAATTATATCAGGCTCAGGGAGTAATGCCAAGTAGATAGTTTTGTGGATGGTGTTTGTTCAACACAGCAATGAGAAGTTTAACGACAGCAGCCAACTGCATGTTGTCTTTTCTTTATTGTAAAAGTTATAACTTTTTGGCATGCTCATATTCCCCCCTTTTCCTCCTATTAACCTGTGAAATACTTAATAAAAGTAACATTAAAAGTTGGCTCTCTGAAGATGTATATAATGGGAACAAAATACATGGTCGTTGCAGATCATCAAAGGAAATTAAATTACCCATTGAAAACTTTGAAGTCTCATTCTAAGCAAAAGGACAATAATGACGAGTGGGATATGTTTTGGCATATCTTGCCTCAAGAGCCTCTTTAGGTTAATTTAAACAAAATTCACACCACACAGCTGGCCTGCAGCACTCGTAAGAAAATTATACAAATAAAAAACAGATAAAGGAGCTGGAGGAGAGCTCCACAGAGCTGTATTAGTCAGCACTGAGTTAGAAAGAATACAAGTGACTGGGAATGGCTCAGCACGCATCATCACTGCACGCATTCTGCATGATCCAGTCAGTGGAGCAGGAAACATGGGAAGCCAGGCAACTTGGTAAAGCAGCCAGGCAGACTGAACCCTGACTTGCATTAAAAAGGGTACCAAAGCTAGGACTGACTAAATCAGATCAGTGATTGTTTAATATAATCAGTAGGGGCAACCGTTTTGCTAAAAATTCATCATTGCCCTGTAACATATATCTGTTCCTCTCCTTAGGACTTAGCCTATATTTTTACCTTGATCTTAAATTCTAGCATTTTCTGGATGCTGATCATCTGCTCTGTACGGCTCATCTTCCTAACACCTTCGTTGCATGCCTTCACCACCTAGAAGAGACCAAGCAATGGGAGTATATCAGAAACATGATTCCTTGCCTCAGGGTTGAAAATTGGAACCCCAATGAGAACAGATTGAATGAGGTGGAAGTAGAAAAGCATGTTTAACTTCATTCAGAAGTGGTTCTGTAAATAAAAACGCAACGTCGACAAGATTTTAATAATAAACTTGTTCACGTCAAAGTAAGTGTCACTGACGAGGCATTAGCTCAACCTCATGTGAAGGAAATCAAAGCATTGTTCACCCCAGTAAGATACGGGGGGACATGCACCCACGGATGAAGGGGAATAGGTTCCAACTCTATTATTACTTAATAAGTAATTATTATTAATTACTATTAATAAAACAGTAAGCAAGAATCACCTGAGTTGAGGCTTGCTAATGCTTACTTTGGCTCCTGGTTAGAAAGAGAAATGGCTGTAGCTCAGTGGATTTCATAGTTTTACACAGTCAAGACATTTCTGATTTAATTTAAACTCTAGAGAAGCTTTCAAATTCTACTATAGTCCTAATGATGGAACCAAGCCAAAATGGAATAGAACTCAGATTTACTAGACTGGTCACTTCTATCACAAATTCAGAAGCTTTCAACAATGCAGCAGGTTGTGTTTCACATTCCTAGAGGTATTTGTGCTATCAACTGCTGATGACATCATCACATTTTGGCAGCCTCACAGCAGGGCTGGGGGAGGGGCAGGGGCCCTAATTTAGCTCACAATATAGTTTTCCCTAAACCATGTCCATCTGCCCCACCCCTGGCATAATTTGTGACATCAGATGGAAGGAAGGTAAAGGCGTTGCCTTCACTTTGAAGTGCATTTCCGAGTGGCTTCCCACCCCAGCTTGCTGCATCATTGAAGACTCAGGAACAATTCTACTAGGCTCATGTCTGAAACTGGGGCCTATGTAATTCAGCAGGCAGGTAGAGATAGAAAATGAGGGTCCACTAAAAGTTGGCTCGAGAGGAATCAGGATCCACTTGATCCCAATGACACCGGACTGGAGTTATGATCTGGCCCACTTCATGGAGGGGAACATGTGTTTACCGTCTTTGTGTGTTGCCTCTCTAATTGCATTTGTGAGTATACCAAGTATAGTAAACATTTGTGTGTAGCCTACACACTACATGGTCCATTCCAGATTATTTCCATGGGATTGATCATATGAGTTTGGTCTAGGTGCATTGGCTGTATGAAGATCTTCTGTCTCCATGTGAACATGCAGGGACAATGGAAGTTGGGTGGCTTCTTTGTGTGGGCTGATGCAATCCCCTGCATGTGGTAAGACTGGTTCAGACTCATGTTAAAAGTATACTGTACTTGGCCTAACCACAAAATATATAACTAGACAGGCAACACACATGATAAGAAGCCTCATAGAAATGGAGTTCAAAAGGAGCTGAAGCACTAATAAAAAGGTATATTATGGCACACGTGATTTTGGGTCAGAAAAATAAGTTTGTACTCTTGGATAAAGTCTGACCTACTAACAGTCTGCTTCAGGTGGCAGCTAATTAAATCACTGCTCTCTGTGGAATCTATCACCTTCAAGTGTCTGACTACAGCTTTTACACTCTGAAATCTGAAGCAACTCTTTCTTGGATATTATTTCTTCCAGATATGTCCTCATATACCAGATACATATGATTAAGCATTAAATTCAAAGTCATCCTATTAATGCAAGGACTAATGCCTGCACAGTGGGACTACCTCTCCCTCTCCTTTCCCTACATGTCCCACCCCCAAATCCTACTACCCCCTACTCTGGAGGGTAGGGGGATTCTTCAAAACACATGGGGGGGACAAGGGTGCCAACTTAAATAAAATACTGGGAGGCAGGTAAACCCCACCCTGCATAATCAATCACATGACATAGCGCGCACACCATTTGAATGGCAATGGCCAGCAATATTGGGAGGGGTACAGAGGCAGAGAAGAAGTCCCATTTGCTCCAAAAAATCCTGAATATTCTGACAAGGCAGATGAGACTTACTGTTTCCAGTTCCTTGTGAGCCTCAAGGGCAGTGATTTCACGTTCAGACTTTTCCTCCACTTTCTTCAGGATATTCTGTACAAGATGAAGGAAGGTTGTTATTATACATTTCCATAAACAGGCTCTACTTGAACACGTGTAGAAAAATGGAGAGAGGAATCAAAATCTTCTTCCTTTTGACAATTACATTATGGGCATAAAAGGATACATTTCCTTTATAAAAGCTAGCCAGGAAGGGCTAGGCGATGGGCTTTGTAGGGTGGTGAATGCTTCCCTCTGTGAGGGAGCCTTCCCAGACCCGCTGAAAGAGGTGGCTATCAAACCGCTTTTTTAAAAACCATCTTTAGATTTGGCCAATATGGCCAACTATCGCCCAGTCTCAAATCTTCCATTCTTGGGCAAGGTAATTGAGCGAGTGGTTGCTGAACAACTCCAGGCACGCCTGGAAGAAGTGGACCATTTGGATCCCTTCTAGTCGGGATTCAGGCCTCATTATGGGACTGAAACTGCCTTGGTCATACTGGTCAATGATCTCTGGCGGGCTAGGGACAAAGGTGAGAGCTGTTTCCTAGTTCTGCTGGATCTCTCAGCGGCTTTTGACACCATCAACCATAACATCCTTCTGGACCGTCTAGAGGGGCTGGGAGCTGGGCACTGTCATACAGTGGTTCCGCTCCTTCCTCCTAGGCCATGTTCAGAAAGTGGGGGGGGGGTGAATGTTCAGACCCCTATGCTCTCACTTGTGGGGTGCCTCAGGGTTCTGTCCTCTCCCCCATGCTTTTCAACATCTGCATGAAGCCGCTGGGAGAGACCATCAGGGGGTTTGGGCTGGGTGTTCATCAGTATGCGGATGATACCCAGCTCTACCTCTCTTTCAAATCAGAACCAGTGAAGGCAGTGAAGGTCCTGTGTGAGTGTCTGGAGGCGGTTGGAGGATGGATGGCGGCTAACAGATTGAGGTTGAATCCTGACAAGACAGAAGTACTGTTTTCGGTGGACAGGAGGGGGCAGGTGTGGAGGACTCCCTGGTCCTGAATGGGGTGACTGTGCCCCTGAAGGACCAGGTGCGCAGCCTGGGAGTCATTCTAGACTCACAGCTGTCCATGGAGGAGGAGGTCAATTCTGTGTCCAGGGCAGCTGTTTATCAGCTCCATTTGGTATGCAGGCTAGCTGCCCACAGACTGTCTCGCCAGAGTGGTGCATGCTCTAGTTATCTCTCGCTTGGACTACTGCAATGCGCTCTATGTGGGGCTACCTTTGAAAGTGACCCAGAAACTACAACTAATCCAGAATGCGGCAGCTAGACTGGTGACTGGGAGTGGCCACCGAGACCACATAACACCATTCTTGAAAGACTTCCACTGGCTCCCAGTACATTTCCAAGCACAATTCAAAGTGTTGGTGCTGACGTTTAAAGCCCTAAATGGCCTCGGTCCAGTATACCTGAAGGAGTGTCTCCACCCCCATCATTCTGCCCGGACACTGAGGTCCAGTGCTGAGGGTCTTCTGGCGGTTCCCTCACTGCAAGAAGCCAAGTTACAGGGAACCAGGCAGAGGGCCTTCTCGGTAGTGGCACCCGCCCTGTGGAACACCCTCCCCCAGATGTCAAAGAGAAAAACAACTACCAGACTTTTAGAAGACATCTGAAAGCAACCCTGATTAGGGAAGCTTTTAATGTTTAATAGACTATTATATTTTAATATTCTGTTGGAAGCCGCCCAGAGTGGCTGGGGAAACCCAGCCTGACGGGCAGAGTATAAAAAAATTATTATTATTACCCACAAGGAATGTTCCTTGGTGGCTTTTCCCTCCCCATTAAAGCTCTTCAGTCTTTCAGTGACCTCAATCTAAGACATAGCAAGGTGGTACTGATATATGGGAAGAGTAAAACCCTGTTATACCTGTACCAGCAGCTTCAGCCTTGTGATCCTTTGAAAAGGCAAAATCAAGAACGATGAAAAAGGCAGGCCTTTGCATTTTGGATCCAGTTCCAAATGTGAGATCACCTCCCGGAAAGCTGGCTTGTCCTGGCTGACAGCAGAGACAGATGGAGAGTGGTGTTTTGTTATTTCATTGAGGTTTAAACTTGTGTGAGTAACCGACATGTTCTATGTGTGTTTTAATTTTCACAACACTACCTTCCCCTCAGGGTTGGAATATGGCTTTGTTCTCGTTTTTTTACAATTTGGGGGAGGGGCATATTAGCACTAAGTGGATTTTGGTTTAAAGTTGGGTCTATTAATAGTATTTGGGAATGGAAAAATAGGCTTTTAATGTGCAAGCCAGAGTAATGCTTTTACATGTGTAGCACATACAAACTTAGCAGCATATGCTGGGTGTGTGGGCGGGTGTGAATGGGGTGTGTGTCCAAGTAGATGAGTCAGAGGCATAATTATATATCTCTACACAGTTGGATTGTTGCAGTAAGGTGAAATACATATAGTCATAGGAACAAGGCCTTCCATCAAGTGATTTAACCGAGGTAGGCCTAGCTGGAAATGACAAGAGGAAAAACTCATCTGGCATAAACTGGAAGCATCTCAGACTACTGGAGACCTGCCAGGATCTGTCACAGCTACAGCTAGTGTGAATTCAGTGCTACAGAAAGGCACACACTCTTTAGCTCAGATTATTTGGTTTCTCACAGACGAAAAGGCTATTAATGTGAGGGAACTTTCTATTTATAACTAATACCAATATTCATAACTAATACCAAATATTTAGAAGCTTCTGGAACACCCCCATAGCCACAAATGATTAATTAGCACATTTCATAGGAAGAAGCATACAGGTCCGAGCACCAGCATGATAAAACAACTCAGGCCACAATCAGACCCCAGCTCTATTTATTGCATTTATTAGTTGCTTTTTTTCATGAGAAGTGACCCAAAGCAACTCACAAAATGCTACGAACATTAAAACAGAGTATGAAAAAAACGAAATGAAACGAAACCCTATCCATAATAAATATAAAAAGGAAGGTCCAACATAACACACCCCACTAAAAAATAAGCAACAAAGAGGGCACAAGTATGCCTAATATGCTCCAAATTAAGGGCTGAAAGTCTAGGGGGAATAAACCTTTTTGCCTGGCACCTAACAATAGATCATTATGAGACCAGGGAGAAGAGTCAGTGGAAGAAGATTGGAAGAAATTTAAAGACTATTTACAGAAACACTGCAAAATTAATGAATGTTAGAATGATGTTGGATTGAAGTTAAGCGGTTTTTAGTAGCAATGTTATAAAGGAATATATAAAATGGTTTGTTAACAGGTGATAATATAAAGCTATAATATATTAAGATAAAAGATTAAGATAAAATCAAAGAGGGAAAGGATTTGCTGAACTAATTAATTGAACTGGAATACAAAAAAGGGAGGTGCGAGGAGGTCAGGGAAACAAGCAAATGAAAGATAAGATTTGGAAAAAATGATTTGTTTTTAACTGTTTTTACTTTGTATTTTCTTTTTTTTGTTTCCCCCCCCCTTATTTTTGTAAAATGTTGAAACCTTAATAAATATCTTTTTTAAAAAAAAAACAATAGATCATTATGGTGCCAGGAGTACCTCCCTAGGCAGAGCATTCCACAAGCAAGGAGCCACCACTGAAAATGCCTGTTCTCGTGCTGCCTCTATCCACATCTCCCCTCAGAGGAAACACATGAAGAAGGGCCTCCAATGATGAATGCTGGGTTCATGTGGGGAGAGGCAGCCCTTGATATATTGTGGTCCTGAGGCACACAAGACTGTTAAAAGCATAGCAATAACCACTGAGGATGCTGTTCCTGGTGTGGTCCAGCTAAGGTTTTTTTTTTTTTTTCTGGAGCAGAGGGAGGAAAGAATGGAACTAGCAATTGAATTGGTCCTGGAACTGAGAATGGTATGACCATTCACCACATATGTGACTGAGAAAATACTGAACCAAACTTCTACATTAGCTGTTTCTGAAAGAGTTCAAGCTGACTCCATATTCCTGTCCTGTTGTGCTATTGCCTTCTATTAACGCTGGAACATAGGTGAACTTCTGCTTTGCTCCCAATAGTAGTTTGGTGCCTCTCACAGTCACAATTTGAAAATCAATTCATTGTCCTTCAGTGCCTTGACCAGGATGTCAAAGAGTGCTGAAGCCCTTGCACTATGCTAACTTTTAAGTCTGTGCTTGGTCTTATTGACAGCTTCTTCTCCACCATACTTCCTTTCCAGTGTTGTCTATATTCAGTCTGTCAAACGGAAGGCAAATGGGATTCTAATCCTTTGTCATCACAGACCTCTAAGTATGCTGATCTAGTCACCTACTATTAAATAATTGACTAGGAGTTCCTTCAGCGAGAACAAAGACTGAATGGCGAGGAAAAGAAAAGGAGCAAGATTGCTATCGTTTCCTAGCATTCATAAAACAGCCTAGCTGCTGGTTAGAAGCAGTCGCCAAGGTCTGCTTCTATAGGGAATTCATTTAAGGATTTATCTCTCTTCCTTTGAGCATATTAAAATTCTATCTATACAATGAAAGCTAGGAATGACTAAATTGCACGATGAGTTATTAGGTTTTCCCCCACCTTCTAGAATAGTTGTAGCTTACTTAACTCTACTCACTTTCTCGAAAGAAAGAAAGTGGCCAAAATAAACATGTTAAAGAGAAAGTATTGAGCTAAACAGTGGAAAATTTCTGAAACATTCAGAGCATTCAAGTAAGCAGCTAAACATTTCCCAGCTTTCATGATCCTTTTAAAGTATTTTTATCTTAATGCTTTGGAGGCTTCCAGACCCCTTCTTCTCCTTTGCGAAGGAACCAAATATATAATGCGGGTACATTGAGAAGACACATTACAAATCCTAGCAGACTACTGCCATTAAATTTAAATTATGAAAACATCCGAAGCAGATTCCCTAATCCAATTCAGCTGCACTTGACACAAGGACTATAATGAATGAGCATTTTTAATTTTCAGACTATAAACTTAATCACACTTACTAGAGAGTAAGTTCCATTGAACAAGTGAGATTTACTTCCAGGTAAACACACACAGGATTGCATGGGCAAGGAGAAAGGCTGCAATTCTATGCGCATTTACTTGATGGGAGTAAACGGTACTGAATACAGTAAGACTTCTGAATAAACATGCACAGGATCATAGTGCTCAAGATTCTTCATTATTCAAAGAGCAAGCTTAGCTTTAAGTAAGAATTCCAGGAGTTTCACATCTGAAATCTGTTACAGATCAGAAATTATTCCCTTTATTGTAAGAAACTTTGCCTCTTTTCACTTTTTTTTTTAAAGGCTTTGAATGGAACTTGGAGGAAGTGAGGTTGCTGAAATAAATTAAGGTTGTAAGTGGATTGTAATTTTAAATTGCTTCCACTTCATCATAAGCAAGGGGGACATAAAAGGTTGGCAGTTCAACACTGAAAAATCTTTAGACAAATTGCACATGCCATAAATGCATTCACATGCTTCAAAATAATATTGCCCAATAGAAAACCATTAGAACAGACACAACTATGGATAATTTCATACATTTGTCTTGTAATGATGGCATCAACCAGAACAATCCTTCCAGTGCAATAGATCATTTATAACGGTCAGACATAGTCACCCAGTGGAAGATGCATGTTTGAAAATTGTGCAAAATGTCAAAAATAACTCATAACTGATTGCATACCAAATCCCAGCTTTCTGCCTAGTTATCTCCTTTCCAGTGGGCAATGGGATTACACTGTGAACACCCAAGCACATTTTGGAGAAAAGTTTCTATTAAGCATGGGTGAAAATTCTTCCCCCCACCCCCACCCCGGTGTGCTAAACCATTTGGCATCTGTTGTCTAATTGGTCAGTCTCAGTTGATTGGTTTTACTAAGCAAGCCATGATTGAATAATTGCACTCACAGAAGTTGCTTATAAGCTCTCTCCTGGTAGGTTTGGTTGGAGACATAGGTTACATACACCGAGAAATGATTAATGGTGTGCTGATAGACAATGTCGCAGACATCTGAGATCACAATGTTCTCTTCTACTCGCTTCTCAAGGTCCAAGAGGAAACTAAATAAGAAACCAAGAATTAATCATTGACATCAGTGTCCGCAACAGGCATAGCCAACAAACACAAATAACTAAAATAGAGGCTTCTGCCACATTCCACTCCCCCTCTTTTTATTTTCATAGATAAAAAATAGATTCTGAAATACTTTTGGCTATGAACCAAATGAAGCATTTTGTTCAAAATTAATTCTGCTAGTTTTTCCAAAACTCAGAGAGCGTATCAACCAAGCTAATCTTTGGCTATCAGTTTTGAGACCAGTCCAGTTATTTTCATTCTATTTTAATAGAAGAGGTCTAACTAATAAGTGGTACAACGTCAACAATAATTTGATCTTGTACCGGCTTCTCAGAGTGAGACATGCTACCCTCTAGGGGAATTGTGGAGAATTTCACGTAGTTGAAAATAGTTATTGATTAATCCTTGGCAATGACATTTTATGAAGGAAATTTTTATTCCTCCCCCACCCCACCCCAGAGATCAGGCAAAATGGGAGATATGTGGCTATAGGTGTACACTTTTGTAGACACACCATGGCTACTAGCTATGATGGTTATGTTCTGCCTTGCACAATTGGAGGCAGCTATGCTTCTGAATACCAGTTGCTGGAAACCACAGATGGTGAGAGGGCTCTTGTACTTGAATCCTGATTGCTGGTTTTCCACAGGTGTCTGGTTGAGAAAAGGATGCTGGACTAGATGAGCCATTGGCCTGATCCAGCAGGCTCTTCTTAAGTTAAATGTATACATGAGACAGAAAGTGCCTGATTTCCAGGAAGAGAATGTAGCTTTTTCCTATGTACAGGTGAGGAAGGGAATAAGCATGTAGAAAAATGCATGCAAGTGACTGTGGTATGCATGTCGTGGGTGGCACTGAGGTTTAAACCACTGAGCCTCTTGGGCTTGCCTATCAGAAGGTCGGTGGTTCGAATCCCCATGATGGGGTGAGCTCCCGTTGTTCTCTCCCAGCTCCTGCCAACCTAGCAGTTCGAAAGCACACCAGTTCAAGTAGATAAATAGGTACTGCTGCAGCAGGAAGGTAAATGGCGTTTCCATGAGCACTGGTTTCCGTCACGGTGTTCCGTTGCGCCAGAAGCGGTTGAGTCATGCTGACCACATGACCCAGAAAGCTGTCTGTGGACAAACACCAGCTCCCGGAGCATGAAAGTGAGATGAGCACCGCAACCCCATAGTCGCCTTTGACTGGACGTAACCGTCCAGGGGTCCTTTGCCTTTTGCATGCCATGACAACAATAAATAATATGACTTGTCTCTAATCCAGCACTGATCTGAAATTAATTTAGTCCTCAACTAACTAGCAAAATATACACGGAAAATATATATTAATGAAGACATTAACAGAATTTGTATGCACAGAATTCTCACCCTGAAAAGGGTGAGATTTCCCACAAAACCTATCATGCCAAAAATGAGGACAAACCTAAATAGCAATGACACTGTTGTTGCTATGTGAAGGAACAGTTGTACTCTATTTTCTCCCTGGCATATTTATCCAGTCACCACAACACAAAATGAGTACATACCTAGGCATTACTATTTACCAAAGAAAGGTGAGAAGGACAGAATATGACACAACACATGCTTGGGCCTCTGATCCTGGCATCCTTTATATCTCACCTGCTCTGAGAGGCCTGCAGCACTGGACTGAAATGGGAGGCAAGGCTGCATGACTGTAATGCTGAAGAGCAGCAGTGATCAGTCAAATTCGCAACTTACTACGATGACACCCACACATCTTCCACCCAGGACAATCACCTCCCTATAATAGGGAGGGAACTGTGTTTCCATCTGATTTTAAGGCCTTTTATATGTAATCGCTTTTGGTTCAAAATAAAGGATTATGTATGGGATTCAACAACGATGGTGTTTAAGTCAGTACAGTGGTACCACGGGTTAAGAACTTAATTCGTCCTGGAGGTCCGTTCTTAACCTGAAACTGTTCTTAACCTGAGGTATCACTTTAGCTAATGGGGCCTCCAGCCGCAGCACCGCCGCGCGATTTCTATTCTCATCCTGAAGCAAAGTTCTTAACCCAAGGTACTATTTCTGGGTTAGTGGAGTCTGTAACCTGAAGCGTCTGTAACCTGAAGCATCTGTAACCCAAGGTACCACTGTATAGTTATGGACAATGGTACATTTCTCTACAGTATAAAAGGGGAGACATTAACTTATAAAGATAATTTACAGGAGCTGAAAACACGAACAGGCCCCACCTATGCCTCCCCAGGGACAGCAACAACAAAATTGAGATTTAATTCCTACACATATTAATCGCTAAAAGCCTTACCGCTCACTGACTGCCATGACATCTAGGACATTGGAGAAGAGGATGTGAGCCTCTGAAGGATGTAGAATCTTTTTCAATCGCTCATTTTCCATGAAGTGATATATCAGAAGGTTCAGGCTCTTGTAATACGAAGCTTCTGAGGTAACCAGTTCAAACATGGCCTGCAGAAGAATTCCAAAATTGTACACGAATGATGCACAATATAAGTGAAGGCTCTGAAAGCCTCAGTGACAGGTAGGCAAGTCTAGTATTCACAGTCACAGGGCAAAAGCTCACAGCTCTATAGAGTTACCACCCCGATTACCAAGCCAGACCACACCATATGGATCTGGATGACAACGAACTTTGGGGTGCAGAATTGATGCAGATGGGACTGAACATCCCATCTGGAGTTGCTAATCAAAGCACAGCTACAGCTGAATCAGAACATGCAAGTTTAAAACAACCACAACCACCTCAGAATGCTTTTTCTAAAGAGTTGAAACTTGAGTATGCTACCTGAAATACTTCATTTTCTAATTGTGCAGAAGATATTGTAACAGGGGTGGGGAACACGAGGACCACATTCCTTCCTGGGCCACCACATTATGGGGGCCACATGCCGGGGGGGGGGCAGAGGCAAAACTGAGCACAGCAAGGAATGTGAATTTTGCCAATCTCCTTGGCAACAACAGGGATTCATTCCTTCTTTCCTCTCCAATCAGTGACGGCACTGCAAAGACTTTGTCAGTGACATTGTCACACAGCTAAATCTGACAGGCTATATGGTCCTGCGTCATTATCGTGTTTGCTAGTGGAAAAATAGTGCCAAACTCCAAAAAAACAACAACCCAAAAACCAAGGGAGGGCATTTAAAAAAGAGCTTTTGACACCCGACTTTCCACTTCAACAAATAGTGGTGTGCAAAAAATGTGGTACAACACTACAAGCAACATTTTGAATATATCAATTTTCCCTAATAGTTTTGTCTTCCAAAAACGTTCAATAAATGTTCATATTAATCAGTTTCTTGCATAACTGCACTCAGTCATGAAAAAGCAGCAAAGGAAGACCAACTCCTAATGTAACATTTAAGTTCCAGTTCTTACATAACATTTGTCTTCTGTAGTGAAATACTGGGGGGAAATGCACATGACTTTTGTAGGAGGGAAAGTCTTTGTTAGTAGCCTCATTTTCACATACCTCCCTGCAAAAATCTATTTTGATTTTCATTCTGGTGAAGTATCTTATGTATGTGTTCCTCCAAAGATAATCCTCTGTGGCAGGAAAAAATAATGCTGCAAGTCCAGGATGAGACTAAGTTTTAAATCAAAGCACACAGCAAAGACCAGAGCTTGGATGTGAACTGGAATAGGGTACGACAAAGTATTAAGACTAAAATCACCAAGAAGGAAGAAACATATTTAGAGTTGCCAAAAGAAGTGTTCTTGGCCTTCAAGCTCATTCACTGCTTTGAACAGCTCAGTGCTTAGCATCATCATGAATAAGTATTTTTACGATATAGTAATACGTTTATGAATTCTTATAATTGCTAGATAGTTGTTCCAAGTCTTCTCCATTACAATCACATTCTCCATGCTAGACCAGTACAAGAACCTGAGTAATGTCTTCTCTCTGGCTTGTCTCCTCTGCATCTTTCAATTATTTTTGATATAGCTCAAGAATGACATTGGTGATTCATTCTCAACAGATGTTTAGATAATTAAAGCTATCCATCAGTGATGTAGTCATTTTTATCAGTATTCCATTAGTTTTCCTTTTCCTGCCTTATAACCCCTAGCAGTTTAAAATATTTCAGCCCACTATCTTGTGCAGTTACTCTAATTTTCAATTAGAACCAGCATTTGTTTTTATTGGAAACCTATATCCCTAATTCCCCCCGCTTTGTCTCACACCAAAACCTGTTTGGACAGACTTAAAAACAGAAATATGGTGATCCAGATGTAGATTTAGGAACATTGTACTAGCAAACATTTGCTCACTTTCTTTACAGATGCATAGTCAATTCTTTCAGCCTTTGTGCGTGTTACACTATTTCATCTAATATGGATAGTGATAGATTCACCTCTGTCAACCTTTTCAAAATAACTTTATCACTTACTTTCTAAGCAGTTTACTTTTTCCATCGCTTGAGGACACAACATCCATTCCAATTCATTTTTCATTGCCTATGGTCTTTTGACGCTTTATAAATCAGAACACTTATATAATTCCCTTTTCTTAGCTTCGTTCAACCAAAATTTGCCTATGTTGCTTTAAGAATGGCCTGTACAGTTTTAGGTATAAATCTTTGTTGGGCACACCAATTCCGTCTTGTTCTGTAGTTGCTGCAGTACGCATAAAGGCCTGAGCCACAATTGCTTCAATGCCACCCTGCATAAAACAAGGGTAAATAGCTCCCAATAGGTGCAGTATTAGAAGCTGTCAGCACTCTCTAGTGGGATAGGATACAAGAGGCTTGAAAGCAAACTGCCACCCCACTCCAGAAAAACCTCATTTCCCATCATTTTAATCAGTCAGTTCCAGAGCCTCCTTGTGCCAGTGCTGTCAATGTACCACTTGGACTCAACGCTGACCCATTTCAGAGTAGCCAGAACCTTTCTTGTTGCCATTAGGGCCAACATTTGGGTCAGCTCCCCTGTACATGTGCCAGGTTACATATGGCAACCACATCTGGTTATTATGAGGCATAAAAAAATAACAAATGCTTGGAAGTCATTTTAAATTTTCTTCTCTATAAGTTTTATAATTGATTTCAGTACCAGGAGTATATATGATGATGGTTATATTAATCTTGATGTATCTTATAGTGTAGTGGTTTGATTCTTTTGTTGTTTGTTTGTTTGATTGTATGTTTGTTTACTTGTTTGTCCGTCTGTTTTTTCATATATGTATGTATCTTAAATTAATAAAGATATATTTAAAAAAACACACAAATGCTTTTAGCTTTAATTTAATCCTGAATTATGAATATATACCTTTGCACCTTGCTGTGAATCTTACCCACTTCCCCTATCGCTATGTGCACCTCCCTATGAAACCTTAAACAGTACCCTTGATTACTGTACTTCGTTGCAATAGCTCTTTTTCAAAGTTGGCTCTTTCCCCCCCACCAAACAAAAAGCAGCCCTCATCCTCCATCCTAGGAAGCTCTCATGTCCTAGATAGAACAGGCATAGGCAAATTCGGCCCTCCAAATGTTTTGGGACTACAACTTCCATCATCCCTGACCACTGGTCCTGTTAGCTAGGGATGATGGGAGTTGTAGTCCCAAAACATCTTGAGGACCCAGTTTGCCTATGCCAACTGATCTAGAACAAAAATTTGTTAAAAGTTGCTATAGGCCACCATTCTAGTTTCATTGTTCTTTGTGGACCATCACAGTGTCTTAAGTTATGGCCTTGAAAAAAGTTGGACCTGTATAACCACGTCTCTTGACTGACATATGCATTAGGCTGGAACATGTTATGTATGATGTCACTGAAAAGGATACTTCTATGTCAAGTTCTCCCCCCTTCTTAAAAAATCTTTAAACTTTGTTTTTTAAAATAATATCAACACCTCAACAACCGTTTTTGGGTTGCTGCATTTTTTGGTATATTTATACAATACATATTTATTTCACAAGTATTACTCTGCTATTTATTGTAAATGGCTCTAGCATCTCTTCTGCCTCTATTGACATTTATTCATTTTGAATTGCTATACTTTAATAGACTTGTTAAAAAATTTGCTATTCCAACTGCAGCACATACTATAAACAAGCATAAGGCACGAAGCTATTTAAATTAAGCCATACTTCAGCTCAATCTGCCCCAGTTATGATTTGAAAAGCAAGGCGAAGAAAATATTCACCATCATTAATTCCATAATATCTGCCTTTCAAAGCTCTCAGATTTTGAACTTAAAACATCTGTAGACTAAGCATTACTAAATAGGAAATGATACTAACACTCAGGCTGGTCATACAAAGTGTAAATAAGAAATGGTTGACCTTTCCTGGGAGCTAAAATCCTTTCTTGGAGCTAGGAGCCTGTCATTACTCCTACAACTCTTCAGCTATTTTTAGACTTAATAAAATCAGCCAAAAACGGGGGGGGGGGGAATAGGTCCTTATGGCAGGAATCCTGCAGTTTTGGCAGCAAGGCACAACATCAGACAAACACCAGAGTCATATTCCACTACTATAACCCTCATTGAGTTCAATGACATTTATGCCCAGGTAAGTGCGTATAGGATTGCAGCTATATGTCAACCATGGGGACATACGGTATATAGTGACTGCCCCAGTTTTGTGCCTTGTGGAAGTATGCATACTCTCCACCATTAAAAATAATGCACCAAGGTAACCAAAATGCTGTGCCCAGAAAAGCTGAAATCTGACCATTTTAAGCCTATTTTGTATGTGTACAACCATAAAGATTAGAAATTTCCTTTAAAAACCAGGATAGCAGCTGAAATATTCAGGATGCTGAATTCTGAATTCCCAACAATTGCATTGTGCTGTTCTACATTTACACTATGTATGATTCCACACATTAAAAAGACTCTACTGAATCAAAACAAAGAACATTAGATCAAAACAAAGATCTGTTTAGTCCAGCACTCGTTGTACCACAGTAAAAACCTGCAGACTGTATTTCCTCCAACTCCTAAATATTCTTTTTCAGATGACTACATCCATACAGAGTATTCCAAATGTGCTCACTGGATTATCCGTATTGAAGAGCATATGTACTTCAATGTATAACAGCTGGTGAAATACGTACTAAACAAAACAGGGCTTCTGCACCTTTAATAGTTATGCAGAAGAGAGGAAATTGCATCTTTCACCCAGGTATTAAAATTGCTACATTGTTTGTTTGTTTGTTTGTTTGTTTGTTTGTTTGTTTGTTATTTGTATGCTGCCCATCTGACTGGGTTGACCCAGCCACTCTGGGCAGCTCCCAACAGAATATGAAAAACACAGTAAAACATCAAACATTAAAACTTCCCCTTGATTCCCCCCGCCCCCAGTAATGATTTTTCTTGTATACGTTCAACAGCTCTATTATTTTCTCTTGGCTGGCTCTATTTTTAGCTCTCTGTCTTGTTTATTTTTCTGCATAGCTTACATTTTATTGCTTTTACTTTGATTATAAGCTGCATAGCCCAAAATGAAAAATTAATGAATAGATGTTTGGTGGAAATAACTATTAAGGCAATCTACACAGAAATTTCTGACTGGTTAATAATTTCCTGGAGCTTCTGAAAAAAAACGGTATGACATTGTTTACCTCCTAATTATTAAATAATTAAGTGATAAGTTATGTGTAGTATTTTGATTATAAGATCAACAATTCTATCATTTGAGATTTTGAAGGACTCTTTAGTGAAAGCCATCCACTCCCAGTGAATGAGTAAATTATGGTTTAGTTTCTCAGTTCATCTAAAAACTGTCATTTCTGAATAAAAGAAAGGGAGCTTCTTCCAACATCTTTCACAATAAGGACTGATGCATTTAATTAATTTGCAATCTCTGCAATTTCTTTCTTTTTTCCTAACAGCAATCTTATAGAGGTTGAAGATGAAAGGGAAGGTTCAAGTTCAATACCATACCACCCAGGACAGAAATTTAGAGGCAGCTTTTTCCTTTCACTCTCTTTGTACCTGGTTATCAGTTTGGGTTTTGGGTTTTTCTTTCATTTCCTGCCCCCCCCCCCCCGCATTCAATGGGAAGCAAAATTGCTATGCCACCTTCAGGGCTGGTACAGTTTTTCTTGCTTGTTAAGGCTGTACCAGAAAAATGGAAATGTGTCCATCCCTTGCCCTAACAGCCTATTGACAGTAGAGCTTTTTATATACCACAGTGAGAAGGCCTCCATCTCCACGCATGGAGAAGAATATACAGATAATCCAATGGTCCTTCACTCACACTTCTGTAGAGTTTATTACAGCCCTCTCATGCCTTTTTGTCTGCTTTATTGCTTTTGGTGAACTTAAAGACACTTGCATTATCAGTTTTAGCAACTTTAGCCCTGACTTTGTCTTCCATTAAGGTTACTATAGCAGCCCAACCCTGTTCTAGAGGCAGAAACAGGAAGGGATTGAGAAAAAACAGGATGGCCATGACTTTTCAAAAGCAAGGAGAGTAAATTAAAGATTTCACAAAACATTCGCTTTACTAATATCAATGAGATTAACATTAAACTGTGCCGTTTTGTATTAAATGAGTCAACCCATAGAGTTTTCCACTGAAATGTCAGCAGTGCAATGCTCCTTTTATCCACCCTTCCCTGAAGCTGTATTACCTCTTGAAGTTTGATCTCATCTGGCTGGAGAATATTCAGAACACCACTGCTCCTGACTTCTGGAAGATCTTGCCACAAATTAAACCTGGAAGTGGAATTCCTGAGCAAGCATATCTGGGGAACAGCCTTGCTTTCTTCGGTATTTGTGGCTTCTGTCTGTGATGCTGTGTCTTCAGTAGCTGTGCACTCTTCTGCATCTGTCTGTGAATCCTGCAGCCGCCTGGTTTCAATCTCCTGACGTGTAGATTTATCCCGATATTCTTGATACAAAAGCCCTACAAAGCACCAAAGCACACAGATTTGTTCTTTGAATGTCTACTCCTCCAGAGCCATGTCCTGGTCGAGCAACAGTAGTTGCTACTGCACAAATTTTGAATATTGTCTATCCTGGCTGCTTCAGCCAGAACAGTTTAGAAAAAGGAAAGCTGGAATCTGAAACAATGTTAGAGTAGTGATTCCAAACACCTAGTCTCCAGGATTGTGTTTTAAATCAGTATCATCATACAAGCCATTGAAAGATCACTGCAGAACAAATAGCTCTAGTTGATGCAAGCAAAAGAAAAGCCAAAACTTAGAGTCATTAGCCTATCCAACCTGGGAAATTTCCTCCCCAGTCCCAAATACGCTGCTCAATCTGAGCATGAAAAAACCCACCCATTTAGGCTGCAATATTCTAGTCTCTTAAACATATCTAGGACTAAATATTGCACACTAGCTAAAGCCACCAAACAGCAATTAAGAACAGCTCAACTTAGGCCAAGGTCAGTTGTCATGCTGGTCTAAAATCTAGAGTATAACTTGGAGATTAGGAATGACCTGGACACATGGGTACATAGTCCTCTCCCTCTTTTGCCTTTCATGGTTTGCAATATCATAGCCTGCTGTGATGTCCAAATTGGACAAACTTTGGCTAGTTCTAAACAGCAATTGCTTCTAAACTATTATTTTAAACCATGGTTTGAAATGGCTTTGCAAATAATAGTTTAGAAGCAATCTTTGTTTCTGCTAACCAATGTTCTGGTCACAGATGCAAGGGACATGACTTACTGAGAGAACATAATTTCAAATTTTCACTTGATCTGATCCAGCAACTTCACCAACTTGTTGACAATGAAGGAGTATATAATGAAACCTATAGTATCCCACGATTCGCAATGAGATACAAGGTCTTCCCATAATACACTACGTTACCTTCAAAAAACAAACTTTAGCAGCGCAAGAATGCTCCTGCAATTGTGTATCAGGTTGTGCAGAAATATGAGGAATACTTCATAATTAGTATCATACAAGGCCACTGAAAATAGTAATAATATATAGTAACAATAATAACCAAATCCTACTATTTCTTATGGGATTTCAATAATACCACAGCGTTTGACAAAATTTATTTTGGATTTTCACTAGGCCTGCCCTATAAGAGGAGAATAAAATCTTGCACCAGATAAAACTGTAAATCCCATTTTAAATAAATCAAAACACCAGTTTGTGCTAATTTCTTGCGAGCCACTCCCTTCATTTTAAACTTAAATGCAATTTAAAATTGCTTTCCCCTTCAGCTCCAGTAAGCAGAGAATGGACTTTTTAAAAAGTATATCTATTTCAGTACAATTTTACATTTTACCTAATGTAAAGAAAATCAAAATTGTAACTCATGAACTGCTTCACATACCTCTGTGTCAAGTACTTTAATATTTCTGTATACTAAACTATATTTAGCTTATAATCTTAGATAATACACATGATTTATAATGGGGAAGTGGTATAAGGAACGAGCTTTTTCCCATAGTGCAAGTATATTCAGTAATCGCTTCTTTCTGGAACACTATTCAGAATGGGATTAAAATAGCAGTAGGAGAAACTGTACCTTGGAAACCATGTACTTTCCTGTTAGCTTCCCACACTTAACTGAAAATGAGAGATTACACTTAAATGCATTGTGCTGTTCTAGTGAAATTATACTTGCATAATTCCACTTGAACTATGTTATTACATATTTTCAAAAGCTGATTATTATTTTTTTGTAAATAATCAAGGCTATGCTTAGCATTAAACAAAACCATGAGTATGGTAAAGGAATGGGATGGGGAAAAATAATACTTTAGTGATCTTGGCTGGAGACAGTAATTATATATATATCAAGTGACTACGAGAAGGCTTCTTTTCTGAAAGAGAAGCATATACCTTAACTATTTGCTGGTCAGGCAGTATAAAGTTCAAGAGAGCTAATAAACAAGTCATAATACTGAAAAGACATAATTATGCCTCTATAGGGATATGGATAGCTCAGCTGGTTAGAACGTGGTGCAGATAACTCCAAGGTTGCCGGTTCAATCCCCTTATGGGACAGCTCCATATTCCTGCATTGTGGGGGGTTGGACTAGATGATCCTTAGGATCCCTTCCAGTTCTACAACTGTATGAATGGAACCAGAAGATCATCAAAAATACTCATATATGCTACCAGTTTGCTCAGATATTCCAGGTATCTTTTTCTTGAATGTAAAATGGGGTGGGGCTTTTTTATACTGCTGTCATGGAAAGACAAGCTTTGGTCCCCACTTCACAATCCCCCTTTATTTACACCATCCAGTATGAACGCTACCGCACTGCAAGTGATAACAACAAGCATAAGGATGATAAGAGCTGGTAAGATGCTAGCAAAGACAGCCAGCTCAGTTCTTTTATGAGAAACGATAGCATATACTGCTGCTGGTGGTGCCTTAAATAGTTCAGGGAAAATGCTCTGAAATGATCTTGCTTAGATGGCCTATTTTTGGAGGAAAAATTGTCCTCCAAAAATACTGCTCATAAGTGTCAAGGGTCTTTGGGGTGGGGAAGGTGTTTTTACAGATCTCAAATTTATTTCTGGTATGTTTTATGTTTCTTAAAGACATATGAACACATACTCATTAATTTCACCCATAGAAAAACAAAGAGTGTTATCCAGTTTTATGGAAAGTGGGAAATGTGCAGCCAACTTCTTCTGCCTTCTGTTTTGCTATATATAGTACAGCAACAATCCTATGAATGTTTATGCATCCATACAATCCTATGGATGTCTTACTGAGGTGGATATGACTTACGGGCTAAGGTCATGTGAGATTCATTTGCACACACTAGAACCTCCAATACCATTTTAAAAGAAAAAGAAAAGGAACTTTCCCAGAAGGAGGAACATTTGACTGTAACTAGTAGCACACCCGACTGCAGCCTGAGTGTTGGTCTTACCTATTTGCTCAATGAAGTTTTTCCAAGAGTCAGCTGTCATGGGATGAATCACTTGCAGAGCCTCGGGGAAAGCAGCCGGGCAGTCGGGATGCACAGGGCTTTCTTCGGAACTAGAAACTGGTCCAGCCATGGAAGGAGACTCACTTTGGGTGAGAAAAACAACAAAAACAAACCAAGGAGTATGGATGCCCGTTCTGTTTCCTTCCCACCCTACTGGCAGAATCAGTTCGGGCTAACAGCAAGGGACTACATGGGCTGCAAGTGCTCTTAAAGGGACCAAGGTAAATAAACCAAACTTAACATTTGACTCCAGGATCTATCACGCCCTCACTGCCACGGTCCCTGGAAACTGAGCACACTGGGCTCCCTCCCAGAAAGAAAGGAAAAACCCAGTAAGCCCCTGCTGAAGTGAAGCAGGCGAAAGGAAAGGAGGGGTGGGGTTCAAGAGGGGCAACAGAAAGGAGGGCAAATGAGGAATCAACCTTTCCTAGGGAGGTGCAAGCCAATGATAACATTGCAAAAAGGAGAGGTGCCGGGGCTCACACACACTCCCTGGTGTTCTATACCCCCCTCCACCTCGGGAAGTCCTGGTCTCCGGTCTCTCACAGCACTGAGGGGAGGGGCGGAGGGAACCACTTCGACGCCCCGACTCAGAAGCGCGGGAGTGAGTGGCCGAGTTGGGGCGAGGCGGGGAGGGCAGCGGCTGCTTTAACCCTCGCTCCCTCGTCCGAGAAATGGACGGGAAGAGAAATGGAGGAGGGCAGCCTCGAGGAGACCTGGAAACTAAGCCTCCGGACTTGGCGGCGGGTGCCTGCCTGCGGGGGAGTCCAGAGGGGAGCTCTGCCCCACCTTCCCTACAGGGGGCGGGCAGGCACGCGGGGCACGCGGCTTGGCGCCAAGACCAGCGAACTTCCCGCTCGCGAGTCTTTAGGTCTACGTCGAAGGGGGCGCCCCCTGCTCTAGGAGGGCGAAGGGCTCTCCTCCTCTTTGGCTCACCTGCCGGGCGGGCGGGCTCCGGCCACGCTCTCCGCGGAGCCTTCATGGTCCAGGGCGCAGGCGGCGCTGAGCGCGGCAGCCAGGAGCTCCATGCGAGGCGGCGAAAGCGACGGCAGCAGCAGCGAGTCCTGCAGCGAGCGGCTGCTACTGCTACGGAGCGATTCCGCAGCAGGCGCGGGGCTGGGGGAGTCCGGGCGGTTGCCACGGTAACCGGGGTAGGAAGGGAGCAGCCTGCGCGGGAGGGGGAAATAAAAAGAGAGAGAGAGAGAGAGAGAGAGAGAGAGAGAGAGAGAGAGAAGAAAGGTCGGTGGCGCACGAGGGGGAGGGAGGCCGCCGCCGCCACTGCCGCCCCCTCTGCGCTTTCCCTCGCCTTATTACTCCTGAGCAGCTCCCGCGCTCCCACTTCTTCCGCTCAATCCCCAAACAGCCACCTTCCTAAAGAAGGCGAAATGACCTCCCCACACCCCCTCAGTTTTTGTCCTGTTCACAAAGACCACTCTCTCGGGCGCACACGGTGGAGAACAGCAGGCAAAGAAGTCCCTCGCAGCTGCTGCGCCCAAAACTCAAGAGAAAGCCCCAACCACCCCCGCGCACTGGTCTTTAACGAGACCCCCCCTCCCCGCCCCCAAAAAGAGATCTCTAGTCTAGGCAAAGAGAGGCGCGCGCACCGCTGCAAAACAGGTAATCTCCACGCAGAAGAGCGGACACCTGTTTCTCCCAGGAGTCTGGGAAACACTTGGGAGGGGTTGGGAGGGAGCGCTCCTTAGAAACTAGCCTACCCTTTTAGCCCATTATTGTCCTCTCTGACTGGCAGACTCTCTCCAAGGTCTCACTCAGTACAGTCAGCTCTGCCACCTGAGATCCTGTAGTGCCAGGGATTGGACCCGAGAGCTCTCCTGTGCAACAAACAACTTGTATAAGGCTGTTAACGGGAACACTTAACCCTATAAAGGATTCAATGATCTTACAAGTCACACTCGGAATGGTAAAAGGAAGGGTTTTAGTCCCCCCCCCTCCCTTTCATTGCATGCTTATGTTCAGGATCCCCCTTTGTATTTTCGCGTGGAAAATCGGGCAATAATGGTAGTTATTATTAAATATTTGTTTATACCCTGCCCTTTCCCCTGATGGAACGCAAGGTGGCTTACATATAAAAATGTTCCAACTGCAGCAGTTCAACCAATGATACGGTTTGTGGCGTTTGCCACATGAATTGACATGGCTTTTCATCCTGAATGAAGTTAGCCTCTTATTAGGACTGTGCAATTTATAGAAGTCTACCACTTGTTATTAGTCATGATAGCTAAAATGAGACATCCATCTTCCAAGAGAACATATCTGCAGGCAAACAACAATAGATAGGTTTCCTCATGAGTTTCTCAGGGCTATCTGCCTGACCACTCTGAAGGCACAATGCTGGATTATAATAAGGATGTTAGCTCTGATCCAGCAAAGAGATTACAATGTTCATCTGATGTCCAGTTTGCATTCTCTTGCAAGCTGGAGTGTAGGAGGAGAGTTATTTTCTTCTATTTCTTTCTATTTTGGTGCACTTATTTTTACAGAATGAAAATTAATAATTGAATGCACTGTCATCCAAAAATACAAAGATAACCAGATCTAAACTACAGAAAGACATGTCAGTTCTGGGGATTTTAGAAAATCTCAGCAGTCTCTTCCCTCATTACCGCTGCAGAAATTCCACACAAACACAGGAAAATAATACATGCTACAAAAACCCTTCTTGATCTGGATTTCAATGTTATATGTTCTGATTCAGGGATATTTTTCAAACATCAGCATTTGAATTTCTATTTCATGTGCCAAATTGGAGCAAAGACATCTTCCTCTAGGTATTTATGCCAAGCTTGAGAACTGAAATAAAAACTCAGAAATGGGGCACATTTTGTATAAAGGCTAGTTCTCATCTGCCTCTTTGGAAATTATGCAAACAGTAGGAAATAAGAATTATGAAATATAGGCAATGGTGTTACATAACCTATATCTGTATTCCTGGGTTTAAAGAAAAGTCAATTATTTTTCAATTATACTTTAATATTTTAGATACACACACACACACACACACACACTGTATTAGAACAGTTTGGATAAAATTATTTCACTTAAATTGGTATCCACTTGGGTCAAGTTACATGAACAATTTAGCTGTATACTGGTATTGCCTGAGCACACAGTTAGACCCATATTGTATGTGCAATTGAGAAACAAGGGGTGGTGGTAAGGTTAAAATGATTTTGCTACTTGAGGGGTTTGGCAGCTCATAAAAGGGGCAGGGCAGGGTGGGTTGGGCATTTGGATAAGTTTTATGTTCCAGTCAGCTAATTTTAGTGGATGGAAGTAAATATTGGATGGTTACCGTATTTTTCGCACCATAGGACGCAGTTTTTCCGTCTTAAAAACTAAGGGGAAATGTGTGTGCGTCCTATGGAGCGAATGCAGGCTCCCTGGCTTTAGCGATAGCAAGGCAAAGCCCCCGAAGCCTGCGCTCCGGAGGCTTCCCGTTGCTTCCGCTGAAGCCAGGAGAGTCTGCTCTTTGAGGCTGGCGGGGGGAAAGCAGCGCTTCCCCCATCGCCAGCCCCAGAGGATGGGGGGCAGCAGGAAGGCGCGCGACGCCTTCCCGCTACTCTCCAACCCTCCTGTGGGCTTTTGCGGGAGATGGGGGAATTCCCCAACCTCCCGCAAAAGCAGGCAAAAGCCGCGCGCTCTTTAAAGAGGCTCCGTGGCTTCTGCTGGCTTTTCTAGGAGGTGGGGGAATTCCCCCATCTCCCGCAAAAGCCCGCAGGAGCCGCGCACCCTTTAAAGAGCGAGCGGCTCTTGGGGGCTTTTCCCCAAGGAGGGAGAAGGGACTGACTGGCTGAGTCAGTCCCTTCTCCCTCCTGCGGGCTTTTGCGGGAGATGGGGGAATTCCCCCACCTCCCGCAAAAGCAGGCAAAAGCCGTGCGCTCTTTAAAGGGGCTGCGCGGCTTTGCTGGCTTTTCTAGGAGGTGGGGGGATTCCCCCACCTCGCAGAAAAGCCTGCAGGAGCCGCGCACCCTTTAAAGAGCGAGCGGCTCTTGGGGGCTTTTCCCCAAGGAGGGAGAAGGGACTGACTGGCTGAGTCAGTCCCTTCTCCCTCCTGCGCGCTTTTGCGGGAGATGGGGGAATTCCCCCACCTCCCGCAAAAGCAGGCAAAAGCCATGCGCTCTTTAAAGGGGCTGCGCGGCTTTGCTGGCTTTTCTAGGAGGTGGGGGGATTCCCCCACCTCGCAGAAAAGCCTGCAAGAGCCGCGCAGCCTTTAAAGAGCGCGCGGCTCTTGGGGGCTTTTCCCCAAGGAGGGAGAAGGGACTGACTGGCTGAGTCAGTCCCTTCTCCCTCCTGCGGGCTTTTGCGGGAGATGGGGGAATTCCGCCACCTCCCGCAAAAGCAGGGAGAAGGTATTGGAGTAGCGCACAGGCTGCGTGCAGCCTGTCCACTGCTCCCAGAGCTGGGGGGGGGAATCATATTTTTTCCTTGATTTCCCCCCCTGAAAACTAGGTGCGTCCTATGGTCCGGTGCGTCCAATCGTGCGAAAAATACGGTAAGTTGAAGAAATTTCAGTGAGGCAGCCCTAGTAATATTCTTGCTGATGGGAAACTTGAGATTCTTCACCCTAGGCCTAGGGCATTGGTAAGGTGGGAGGGGCATTTGAGGAAAAACAGAAAGCATGAGCATGTGGGTACATTGTACATTTCTTGAAGCATTATGTATAGAGGGGCATATGTGCATGCCCAAGTTTGTGGGTAGCTACAGCCTAGTACAGGGTGAGTCTTTTAAAAGAGGCCCCATGGAACATGTGTACTCTGTATCCACGGGGCCTCTTTTAAAGGACTCAACCTGTATGAGGGACAGAATATGAAGAGGCCAGGGATTCAAAGTAGATTTTCTTCACTTGCTCCCACAGGAGGCAGTGATGGCCACTAACTTAGATGGCTTTAAAAAAGAATAAGACAAATTCATGGAGGAGAGCGCTATTGATGAACGCTAGCCTAGGTGGCAGCAAACTCCGCAAACAGATGCTGAGCAAGATGCTGGGCCTGCGACCCACGGCTCTGAGAGAGAGCCAAATGAGGTTCCTCCTAGCGGACAGGGACAAGGACGTTACTGCCTCAGTGGCTTCCTTTTTAATCTCCATCCAGAGCCGTCTTTCCCATAGGGCTTAGTTGCACCAAGGCGCCGGCCTCTCAGGGGCGCCCCAACAAGTGGGGGAACTGCGCAGCTTTGCCGGCGACTCCCCTTTCCCTGCACGCCCACCAGCTGCGTCCCGCCAACCATAAGGCTGGCGGGCATGCAGCTTCCCTCCCAAGCCTCCTTGGGAAGCCTTCATGGACTTGAAATGTCTTAACTTGCAATGCCAATAAAGGTACCATATTTGTCTTGTATTGCTAAGATGGCCATGCTCTGCCTCCACAGTTGGAGACAGTAAAGTTTCCAAGTATCAGTTGCTGGAAGCTACAGGAGGGGAGAGTGCTGCTCTTGTGCTGGAATCCTTCTTGCAGGTTTCTCAGAGGCATCTGGTGGGCCACTGTGAGAACAGGATGCTGGACTAGATGGGTCACTGGCATGATCCAGCAGGCTGTTCTTATGTAAATTTTGGACAGGTTGAGACAAATTGTGGTGGTAAACCTCAATCCCTCAGCAGGAGATCAGAGCCAGATTTCCACTATCTTTAATATTTGAAAAAGGTGGCTCAAAGGAAAAGGTTGTATGAATCTCTGTATTAGTAATTAAAGGATCTGTGACTGGGAAGTAATTACTTATTTTGTAGCACATATTGAATTGTACACTCATTGAATATGGCTACTGTGCTTCTAGATTTGTATGTTAATTCAATGTAGATCTCCATACAGATGCTTGGGCTTCACTTACACTGATGAAAGTACTCAAATTCTTTGTGTTTCCACAAAAAATAGAAACTTCAAATTTGGCAGTCAATTCAAAGCACTGATTACTAGAAAAGACTGAAAAACAGCATTTTGGTCTAATGATCTAGTCACAAGATATGAAGACTCCCTCATAATATTGCCAGCATTCCTGCAGAGATAATGCTAAATCACATATATGATGAAAGAGAGGGTTGTGGGGGTCGATCCTGATATTAGAACCAATCTCAGATTATAGGCATGAGTGAAGCCGTGCAAAGGTTATGTAGAAAGGAATCCTTTACTAAATAAATGAATAAACCGAAGAACCAATTAGATGAACCAGGAATCAACCTGACTGCAATGCATAACCTGGATTCAGTGTCTATTACCTGAATTTGGGTTTTGAGAAGTATTGCATAGGGTAATGGGAAACGGGTGTGTACAGTATACCACTTCCTTTCTGAGGTAAAAGAAAGTAGGAAGACTTTGATTAAGCAAAAGTAGTAATAGAAGTTGTGTGCTAATGGACTGCCAGCTAAAAGGGAAGAAACAGTAAAGAGGAAGAAATAAAAATGTGCACAGTAGAAGATTGGATTTGAAACTACCCAGGTATCTGTTGAAAAACAATACAGCAAAATATAGCAGGATCGTTTCCAATACCTAATTTAAAATTATTTAGACCTTGGATACTTGATCTCTTTAAAGATTCTATCCCATCATTGCATTTGAACGAATTACTTCTAAAATGCCTTATTACTCCTTTGTACCACAAATGGATAATAATGAATTGTGACGTTATTTCTTCCAGTGTTATCATCCAGTAACACATTTTTTTAGCAAAGTGATCAGTTAACTTTAATCTCTGCACTTGAGTACACTTTAATGGAAAATTCAATTCACTGATGCCTAGTTTTTACATTTATAACAATTCAGTGCATCTGGCCAAGTTCTTTAACAATGTGCTGCTAAATTGGTTTATGTACTACTAAATTGGTTGACCTTTTTACGGTTTTGTAATGCATTTTTTTCTGTTAAATTCTATTATACATAAATACTGCAGGTTAGATAGCAGTCACCTCAAAAAAGTAATTAAATTGGTATAACTAGTGCTTCTAGAAGAATGATTGTCTTTGACTCCAGATCTACCCTACCCTTTTATGCAAAGCCAAAGGCATCTCTTTTTGCATGATCTTATCCCACAATTACATGATATATGAAGTAACTTGTCAGTGACATTAATGTGATATTCTACCCATCCATAATAGATTTAGGGAATGAATATAGCTCTCAAGAGTAAGGCAGAGGTGGGAAAGCTGGACTAGCTATGATGCTCTTGCTTGGGTTCTGTCCTATACAATTGCTTAAATATGACCTATATAAATAATTCAGCAGAGAAGCTCAAAGTCTCCTAATAATTTTCTTAATACATATTTTAAAATCTTCATTTATCCCCCCCCCAAGTGATTGCATGTAAATCCTTAAGCTCCTTCACAATTCGGTTACTTCTGACATCAGTTCCTGTGTATTTCAGGTATGTGGGATTTTTCTTTCCAATGCAAAAGTGAAGCTGACAGCTTATTTACATTTTAAAATCCTATTTACATTTGCTAAATGTAATTTGCTGTAGCTCTCTTAGCAGCTGAGGTTAGCTCATTTATATCTGTCATGATATAATAGCAAAAATTTTTTAAAGGGGTGGAAAAACACCCTACAAGGTGTTAAAAACGTCCTCTAAGGAATTTTTATTCAAACCAAGAGGAAATATACACCTCAGATTATGCTAAAATATTTGTGGTGGGTTTTTTGTTTGTTTTTTAAATGAGAACATTTCCATCTACATCATGTAACAAGGATTGTTACTAAAGTCAGCCGAAAGCAGAATTTGGAGGTGAATTTGGACAGTCCAAATCAAGTGAATCATCTAAGGGATTTTAAAGGATGCTACAGCACATTCCTAGCCCCTGTCCTCCCTTTCCTGCTAATCTAGGGACTGGATTAGGGAAACTGCAGAGGAGAATCAGCTTGTGGGAGGCAGTTCCCTGCCTGCCAAGTCTCCTTTCAGTTGCCCCTAGGCCATTTTTAATCATTCCTGCTAGCTGTCTTGTTTTTGAAACCTGAAGTAAACCCTGCTGGAGGAAAGCATCCTTGAGCCCCCTCCCCCTGCAAGAAAGGAAATGTTAGAAACAGATTTGCCAAGATGGTGTACTTAGTCTAATGAACTTCCTTAGTGGGGAGTGGGCCAACTCATAACCCTATATTGGCACTGAATTTTGCCTTCAAGTTCAGGTCAAATTTGGAGACTCCTGCTTTTGCAAAACATCTGGGGAATTATGTGGAAAGAAACATTTAGCTAGGGATATATAGCATAACTTTATTAGGAAGGAGGATTCCTGTATACTTAATTGTGGCATTGCAATTTCTCTAAATAACATGCAGGAATTTTATATGGCTAATAGCATTTTTCTTGTCCTTACTTTTTTGTGGGCAAATACATTATTAAAAAAAACACCACAAGAGGAATCAGCTTTTTCTTTTGAAGGCACTGAGGGGTTTTTTGTCTTTAATTCAAGGCAGGGGCAGGCGGTTACTGGGCTGGATTTGCCGTAAATGTGACATGCAGCTAAAGTTCTCTGGACTTGCCAAGTATGTATGAACTTTGGACTGTTTATTCCTGTAACTAGTCAATGAATCAGGAACAGAAGATTTTTAGGGAGCATGTTACAGGGCTTCCTTACAAGGACTAATACAGAACTACCAATTATTTAAAACAAGTTGTGTGTGCAGTGCCAGAGTATAGTTAAGATTACATTTATTTGCAACACAATTTTAAAAGAAAATGTTGGAGGGAACAGAGGTGAGGCAGATGGGAGAGGCATGGGAAGTGGAGTTTTGATCATCATTTGACCATTGGGTTTAAGACAGCAGAATCCCAATCCAGCCTTGATCTTGAAATCAAAGCAAAACTTTATATGTGATAGGGATCAGATATCTTTAAGATGAAGCAGCTTAAAGACAGAACATGTTCATGTGGTCACAGACACTCATATTTTGACATCTGAAATGGAAAAGGAAATACTGTATGGTATTTTTATCTACAAATGCTTTATTTTAGGATTAATGCCCCTGGTGAATTCAATAAAGCCTAAATGTGCTGACCTTCAGAGCATGATATATATTGTGTATTTATCTTTTAGCTGTGTGGGCAGAATTTGTTTATTTTTTGTTTATTTTTTTGCTGTATTTTAACTTTAGGCTTAATAGTTTCACCTAGTGTGCCAGCAAGTTAATGGCTTGCTTTCTGCACTGTAACGGTGTAACAATTTTGCAATATTTGTAACCTTTAGTAATTCTTTTTCAAACAACTATTCAAGAATACAGTAGCCTTGATACCACCACCCTCTGTTGCAGCAGTATTGAGAGTCCCCTTCTCTTCCCCTTACTAAACAGGGACATCATTGTTTTATCTAATTGTATGCGACTTTGGTGGCTTTTAGCCATGAAGCAGCTTACAAATCTTAATACAAGGTGATAGGTGATTGTACTCCATGACCCATAACAGTCAAGAAGTGGTGTGGAAGGGAACAAGCAGAGTGTTGCTTGCACTCATAGAACACCCACCAAGTGACTGGGCACATGGAACTTCTCCCATTCCCAAAGCAATCTTTCCTCGTAGAGGAATTGATCATTTTGGTTGCCTTTTTCTAGACCTTTTCCATGAAAGGAATTAGAAATGAGGTGGGCAAATGGTTTTATTCAAAGGACGCGAGGAAAACTCATCCTTTTTGAGGATTCCATTACAGTCAAACCTTGGGTTAAATATGCTTCAGGTTGAGCGTTTTCAGGTTACGCTCTGCGGCGACCCAGAAGTAACAGGACGCGTTACTTCCAGGTTTCGCCACTCACGCATGCACAGACGCTCAAAATGACATCACAGGCATGCGTGGAAGTGGCAAAGCGCGACCTGTGCACACACAGACACGCAGTCGCATGTTACGTTCTACTCAGGATGCGAATGGGGCTCCGGAACGGATCCCGTTCGCATCCAGAGGTACCACTGTATTCCAGTCTCAGCATAGATTTATATAATGGGATTATGGTATCAGCAGTATTATTTTCAGTTCCTTTCCTAATGATCCTTAGCATGGGATCTGCCTTTTCCACAGCTGCCACACACTGGGTCAACATTTTCATCGAGCTATAAAGCTAACATTCTCTGATTGTAAATAGATGATAGGCTTGTCTCTGGCCAACACTTTGTTCTGCAATGTATGTGGTCTACAGAGGTTGGGGAGGAGAGGATAGTCCATTAAGAAGGAACTGCCACTTCCTAAACCAGAGGTTTTCCAACTGTTTTGAGTCCACGGCTCCCTTGACCACCTACATTCTTTCTGCAGCACCCCGTGGAGCTTAGGAGCTTGGCTATGTCAACTCTTGCCTGCAGAGCTGGCAGCCCCTCACCCTTTTTCAAACACCCTTCCTTGTGGAGTCTTCCCTCATGCCCAGAATCCAATTTTTGTCCCATACTTTTCACAGAGCTTTCCGTAGCTGTACCAGGAAGGCCTCTGGCTCCTGTGCTACCTCTCTTAACTGGGGAGAAAGAGCTCTACAGCAGCCTATAGCCATCATTATCCAACAAGGGCTGCATAAAAAAGAAAACAAGCACCTGATGCCTGTACATATTTATAGAGTAATGGAAAAATTAAACCTGCGGAATAAAGTAACAAATGTGAAAGTGCTGCACGCAATTTGACCAATCCATTTGATACTCATTTAAAACCCATTTTATCTTTTTTTTTTTTTGCCTTCTGTATCTCAAGGGAAATTGCTTTCTTCCTTACCTTTGCAACCATTGTTCTTCTGCGGCTGTCATATCTCGTTTTACATGTAGAGACAGGCCCTTGTGAAATATGCGTAACAATTCGTCTTTGTTCAGAAGCTCATTTCTGGTATTACCATTTTTTAGTGAGGCTTTGAAATAAAGAAATAAATGTTTTCTGTCAGTTCTATAAAATATTTGCAGTTAAGAAAAAAGAGAGGTTGAGAGTTTTGTTTTGTGGCTGATTCATTTCTTCACAGTTTTTTTTTTTTTTACAAAAACATGACTACTTGATACATATATATATATATAGTTACAGATAGGTAGCCGTGTTGGTCTGCCATAGTCAAAACAAAAAAAATTCCTTCCAGTAGCACCTTAAAGACCAACTAAGTTAGTTCTTGGTATGAGCTTTCGTGTGCATGGTATGAGCTTTCATGTATCTGAAGAAGTGTGCATGCACACGAAAGCTCATACCAAGAACATATATATATATATATATATATATATATATATATGTAAGCTTGTGGCTGTTACCTTGCAGAAATCCCAGCCCTTAGTTTCCTGGAAGCTTTCCTAGAACTTAGTTTCATTATTGAGAAAGAAGGCTCAGAGATATGTTATCAGGCATTGGCTTTAAATTAGCTTTTTGTTCCAGGAACAGAATGATAAAAGTCCTACATGCTTCCATCAAAATGAGCCAGAAAAAGTTCCCATAAAAACCAGACATGATCTCATCTGATTCATGGCTGTTTGTTAAAATTTGGGAGGATTGGAATGAAAATGATGTACTTTACCATTTTATCAGCATAAAGTACAGTACTTTGCTGTTAATATGCATTTTCCCTCATTTGTTGCACACTTTCGTGTCTGATGGATACACTCACGTAGCAAGAATATCACATTTCGCAAATGCAGTATTTTTTTTTTGGAAAATGTAGCATTTCTCCCAGACAGTGCATTGATTGCTATTATGGTTGCTACACTGAACATTTTTGTATGAGCATTTTTACACGGGATTAATGGGGACCAAGTAAATATTGTTTTGTGATGAAATTAGTGATAAGTTTTCCCTGGCTATTTGTTTGATACATAACTATATTCAGTTTACATACAATTTCTAGTTACCATTCTGCCTTTCTTCTGTGACAAATTTCATTCTGTCAATGGATTGTGGAGCTTTTTCCTGTCTGCCCTTCTCTACCCTCTTCTACCTGCAAAGTGTAAATCCTGAGCCAGTCTGCTATTTGATGTATGAGACATTTGACCTTGATACTGGGGCACATTATATCCAGGAAGCAGCTGATTAATCATGCTGCTACTTCAGCCCTTTCAGCCTTTTCACACCATGCTGGTTCATTTGGGTGGGTGGGATAGGAGGACAAACCCATAACCACAACTGGCTCCAGACTGCTTTCTCTCACCAGAACCCCAAAATAAGAGAGGGGGCAGGTGAACACAGAGCCCATGTGCAAGGGGCAAATGCCCAGACCCAGTTCTACATAAACAGAGAAGGATCAGCTTGGCGCAGTTCTGTAAACAAACAATACATCAGAGATCTCAAATGTAAGATAAAAGAGCTCACCCATCGTTGCTGTCTGTGTACTTTAGTTATTGCCGCAAGATGAGGTTCTCCATATGCCCAAGAGTTAGGCTTTACAGGGACACACAGTACCCATTGAGGTATGAAGGCTGAAGATAATTCTCTGCTAGTTGTCTGAATAAATGTTAGCTTAGGTGAAAAAGAGATTCCCTGGCTCTTCATAAAGTCCTGTTACGTTCTGAAGACGTCATGAATTCCTCTTCTAGTTTAGGTGAGTAGCTGCTGCTTCAGGAGTGGAACAGCAGAGAGTAGGTAGGACCGCAACTGGTCAGACCACACAGATTTAAGTTGTAACTTGTAGCAGATCAGCTTGTTTTCAAATAGATTCTGCTGGGACTGAAACAGGCAGTGATGTTTTTCTTTACAGTTGTTTTGAATCTGTGCTGTGTGTAGGTCAGATTCTCCTCCTGTGCACCAAGTTTGGTGCAGAGGCTCTCTTGTGCTCAGGTGACTCGATGAGAAAATCTGTTTTGTTAGCCTTGCTGCATACTGCATTCACTGGGTGGAGAAATGTCTGCCCTAGCATACAAAAGAGCTCATTTTGTCCATAAACCATACTACGATGACTGGAGCAGCATATTAAGTAGAAGTTTTTAGTCTTGTGATTATCTGCTTGGAGAAAGGGAAGAGACTTACCTTGTGTGTTATATTGCAAGAAAGAATGGGCCCAGTCTGCTGTGAGAGGGCATTAGGATGGGGTAATTTGTTATCTAAGCTCATTTGTAGAAACAAAAAACAGCTATCTCTTGGGGAAAAAACCCATTTCTTTGCCGACAAAAGTTGTCTTTACCTGGCGTCAAAGAAAAGTTTATTGGCAGAAGCACAACAATCATCATGATAACGTAGAGGAAGAATTTTGAATGGTTAAAATGTGCTATAGACATGCTAAGTATTATTAATTACTTTGCTGTGTGGTTTAGACAACAATAATCTTGTTGTGTTTGGTTCTCAAGGTTGCAGTCTAAACACACTTATTAAAGAGTAAGTTCCATTGCACTTAATGGAATTGTGTGTAAACTTGTCTAGCATTGTGCTGTTAATATGTCTCTTGCTCCAGTAGACACTATCATTTGTATGAAATATTTTGCTTGTTCTTGCTGTTCGTTCCTTCTTTAGTTGTGGGTCTTGCCAACCAAACAGAGCTTCATTGTAAGTGAAATGGCATCAGATCTCATCCCGTTTGGCTTCCTCTCTTGTTTTTGCAGTTTTAGACTTGCAGCAACTTGATATCCAGTAGGTGCAGCCGGTGTACGAAGGCAGGGACCCAGATTCTAGAGTCTTAAGAAGTCTCTTGCTGTTCTTCCTGTAAACCTTCTCCCCCAACCCTTGCTATATACTTTTACCCATAACTCTCAGTCTCAATGGGCAAAGAAGGGAGAGTAACTACTTAGACTACTTACCTTCAACACTTTCAGTTTGAACCTCTCTGCTGCTCCTTGCTTTCCCTCTGTTCCGAAGTCTGAAGGAGCGGTAGTACCTGGAATTTCTTCGAATCGGAATGTAGTGCGTCTGTGATTCCTTCTCAGTCACATGGTCAGAAGCCTCTGACTCATCATCGCAGATCAAGTCCACGCATGATACTGCCTGCGAAGAACTATCCTTCCAATGACCATGGACTGATTTCCTACTGTGTCTTTCCACCTCTTCTAGTTCTTCTGTCTCCATGGCAACAAGTTGGATTGTTTAATAACACCAAAGCAGACAACGAGGAACCTTTATAAATTCCATCAGGTCTCTTGGCTTTAGAATTAAAAACAAAGTGTAAGAAAGTTTATTTAAACAGTAAAAGGAAAAATTTCATCTATAACAATGTAGAATTTCCAGAGGCGAGACATATTAATCATTCTGTTGCAGCAAAATGAACAGTCTTGTGGCACCGTAAGTACTAACAAATTTTATTATGACCCAAGCTTTCATGGACTAAAGTCTACTTCATCAGATGCAGGAAGTGTAATCTTCAGCTGGAGATACATAAACACACAGGATGGCAAGGGTGAAGGTTAGGGGATGCTCCTGATTATGGTTCATTGTTATTGGCACAGGTGTTATCAAACTGTCTGAAACATTAATTTAAATGTTGATATTAGAGTTATCATGCTTTCAAAAACTGCATCGGGACATGATATGTCATGATCACCTTGAAAAACTATTCAAGCTAAACTCCAAATTCCTCTGCAATAGAGTTATTTTTGAATGGGAAACATTTGGTCTTCTCTGACGCCCTTGAAGACACAATTTTACACTTTCATTTGTTTATTCATATGGTACAAACAAAGAACAAAAAATGATCTAGATGGAGATTAGTAAGTGCAATAATCCTCGAACCTGACCCTATGCTACCCTAAGGAAAATAGAAGCATCTCTACTCAAGAAGGACCTTTGGCACCTCCTCTTTCCCCTCCAGAGTGACACCTGCAGAACTGGACAAGGATCTTTTAAGTTGCCTCAGCCAGCTCCTCAGTGAGGTGGTGGCAACTGCTCTATAGGCCTTGCTGGACTACATAAGGTCTTGGATGACCCCAGCTATTAGCTGAGACAAGGCCTTCCAAATTTTTGTCAGTGGGGCCCAGGACCCTAACCTGTTTGATCTGTTTCCTCTTTCTTTTGGGAATGTACAATCTCATTGAACAGCTCACCTCTTATATACCCAATTGATCTCTATGCCCTGCAGATGAGAGCCCCCTGCAGATACCATCATATCAGGAGTTCTTCTCCGCTCAGCATAGGAATCAGGCCTTTTCTGTTGTGCTGCTGTCATGAATGAGCCAGCCCTCAGGGAAAGTTTGCAGCCAGCTCCCAGTGAAGGAAGTAGCTAGGAAGAGAGAGGGTTAATCTCTCAAGACAGGATGATTATAGCCGAGAGCCAACTCCCCTGCCCTTAGGAATGTCAACTGATAAAATTGCAGAGAGTCAGCCAGCAGCTTGCCAGAGTGCTAGTGAAGGACAAAATGCAGGGGCTAGAAACGAAAGCAGCTCAGAGAGAGGGAAGGACCATGGAAGTACTGTTTCAGAGAATGAGGAAGGGGTGGGAGCTGACCCCTAGTCTAAGGTCTAGGTGTATGGGACAGAATATGTCACAAGAGGAAGTCCGGCTGTTCCTGGTCTTGCTGGAAACACCCTCCTCAGAAGGGACATATTTGATTTATAGACTGTGATCACCACTCCAGTGAACTCTGTTTTTGCAATAAATCTTCTATTTAATTAACTATGCTCGTTTGTTATCAAGACTCCCTGACAGCCACCTAGCCTTTGGAATTCACTTCTCTTAAATATTAGACAAGTGCCAATAAGTGCTGTCTTTTCAGTGCCTCTTAAAGACCTTCCTTCTTAAACAACCCTTTTCAGCTGAGCTCTTTCCCAGTTTGCATCTCTACTAGAATTGTTTTTAAGGCATTCTAATAGCTTTATCACTTGTTGTTTGCTGCCCTAGGCTCCTTTGGGAGAAAGGGTGAAATATAAATTTAATAAAAAAATAAAGTTTTATCATTGATAACCTTGTGTGAGATGTTCAGATTAGTCATACAATGAACTTCACGTCTGATCTTCTTAGCTTATTCACAACTTCCAAATGCTGTGGGGTGGATATATTATTGTAACTGCCATTCTCTAGGAAGAATCATTAGTAGTAGCTGTCAAGCCTCAGTATCAAGGATAAGAAATTTAGCACATTCCTAATTCAATGTCATTATCAAATCCCACCCCCCAAGCAAAAAGATGTCATTGATTTCTCAGAGCTTTGCCAGAGTTTGTTTAGGGCAAACAGGAAGCTGTTTTACAAGACAGAAAAAATCAAGCTAGTTCATAACTCCTAACTAAAACTGGATCTGGAGCAACAGGGCTGTTTAATGTCTGCTGCATGTCCACCCTTTCCACATATAGCCCCACCAATGCATGAAATAAATATCCTCCTTGACTAGCTATGACCTGTTGTTGCTCATCCAGTACCTTGCAAAAGCTTCAGATACAAACAAGAAACAGTTATGCATTAACTTATTAACAAGACCCACCCATCCTGGTTCTTACAACTCCCTTTCTGGTTTTCAATAATCTTTTTTGAAAATTAAATGTAACAGATTTCCAGTAAATATATAAAACATCAAGAAAAAGCTCAGTATACAATTACATCAATTATACATCTTAATTGCCTAAGACTATACACACACACACACTTATACCAAAAATTACCTTTTAAATCCAGTTATAATCTAAACAGCCAGTCTTGTTTTTAACTTTTGCCAATGTTCAGTTGTCTGCAGAACTTGTTTCTTTCTGGACCTGTACATAAATATAGCTCATTTCAGACATCACACCAAGCTGTGGTTTCAGCTAACGATAAATAGTCTAGGATTGATCAATGGTCTGAGTTTCCCTATATGCATTAGGCAAATAATGGCATAGAGCTGCTTGCTTTTTTTTTTTTTAATCCAGCTTCATAAATTCACTCCTGTCTTGATGATTTAACAGGTGTGGTCGGAGGTGGGTGGCATCAAGTGACCTTCTCCTCCTCCAGCCATGCAGGAAAATGGTGGCACCCCTGGACCAACCATGGCCATGCTGAGCAACAAATGCCACTCCCCCAGAGCCCCAGGTTAGCAGATATTCTGTACCTCAGTCAACCTACACCTGCACACATTCACCCACACTCACATGCTGAACAGTTACAGATCTCGATAATTCCTTGGGAGATATAAAAGGCCACATTACAACACTGGCAGCCTAACCCTATGAGACTAAAATCAAATTTAATCTAGGACTATGCAGCATTTATGTAGCAGAACAAAACAAAAATGACATTCATTGTCCAGAATAGGCATAAAAAACAAGAGGATTGTGTACAGTGGAGAAAGCACATAGTAAGAATGTGCAAATGTGATGGAAGTCTAACAGTGCAATCCTATGCAGGCTCACTCTGGAGCAAGTCCCATCAAGTTCAGTAGGCCTTACTCCCAAGTAAATGGAAGTAAAAGCATCCAAACTGAGGACAGGGAGGCCAGCCTTGTTTCCAAAACAATATTTATTGTGACAAACAATTGCCACCATTGTCATATTAATGCTTTGCACATAGTGGGTTGTATCCAACCACATTCTGTACATAAGTTAGTCAATTTAATTGAATAGATATACTCTGAGTAGAACTGAAGTAGAACTGGATACGACTCAGTGATTATTTTTTTTACAAAAATTAAACGAGATTGTGAAGTTTCGGAATAGTAATCAAGCTTATTGTCAATTTCCACTGCATTCAGTACTCTAGGAAGCCACGGGTAAAGGAACATAAAGCAAGTAAAAGACTCATTCATACAACCATTTTGGCAAAATGGGGATTTGTTGAAGCCACTCAAGCTGAATTTTTTTAATGCTGTGACTGGCCTTGTGAATATTATTCTTTATTGAGGCCATAATCTTTCATCTCCTGTTTCCACTCACATCTTGAGAGGGCTTTCATACAGTAGCTAGGCATCGGTTGATGGAACCTATTGGAGCATTCACAGGATGAGTCACCATGCCATCAGTCAGCTTGTGGTGGCTTTCATCCTGTTAAGAGCGGCGGTAGGATATGGCAGCCCAAAAATGTCCTCATAGGAAGCAATACGCTGTTGCCTGATTGAGTAGGTGAATTGCACTGGCATGAAGGTGCTACATAAAGACTAAAATGAATGATGTGCTTTCAGAAGAGACATTTTGCTTCACCTCTAGGAAACAAATAGTGCTGAAATTGCGAAGATGACTCATTAACAGTATAACAGCTCTCAAGAGAGGTGAGGAGAAATGCAGCAAGAAGAACAACAGGGCGCAGCTGAAGGGAGTATAATATTCAAACTTGGAAGACTTGGAAGCATTAGCCTTCTGGGGGTGGAAATATACATGATGGAAGATCTTTATCTTCAAATGTAGATTGCTGTCAAACCACAGTAAAAAAATAATGAGGGAGGGCAGAAGAGGGGTACTGAACTCTTTTTTCCATTATCTGTTTCACCACAGCCCTGTTGCAGATATTAATATTGTGCAGTCTGAAGCAAAAGAACTGACTCCTTTTGGAAGGCAACTTTGTCCCGAATCATAAAAATATTATTCAAACTTTACTTGCAGAACTTTCTTCATAACAGAATTAAAACATCCAAGGATACATCCAAACAGTTCCATAAGACATATGCCATTCAAAGTCATAGGCTCAGCATCTTACAAAATATGAAATAATCCAAAGAGACCTATAAGTAAAGGTCTCTCTCTTTCAACATCCATTTTGCCTAGATCTGTTTTCCTGGAGAGCTTCATTTAAATCTTCGTTCCATGCAGCCTGGGAGAGAACAAAGAAGCAGCCACCACCTTTCCAAGATGGCAGATTTGCAACTCAATACCTTAATCACCTGATCTAAGGTTACTCACTCACGTGTTAGCTAGCAGAAAGCAACAATCAGTTAATTACCAAGAGCTCAGAGTGCTCTTCTTGCTTTTCTAAAGCTTCAGTGGAATCTCCCTATGCTAAATCTTTTCACCAATAGATAGACATTCCCATTTCAATGTCAATTAAACCAATTATACTTAACAAACCTCTCCTTCAAGGTTGCTTCCCTAACACAGCCACCCCTAGCCAGTAGCAGATATCATATTGGGAAAAAAGTGGCTGGAGGAAAGAGTTGCAGAGTGAAAAGTGGCTGGTTAGCTGCTGCTTCCCACAGTGACTTGCATTCAAAATCTGCTGCTGTCAAATATAATTCTAAATAGCTGAGGGGAACCAGCTTTACTACATCATCAGTATAAGATCAAAAAAGGAGAGGGCATGTCAAAGTTGGTCTATTGCAAAGTATGTGTCTTATATCAGAACAGCATTCAAACAAATCCTCTGCAATAAGGCAAGAAATATAAACTGTTTTGTAATAGGGTTTCCTTGGCTGTGTGAGAAAGAAAATAAAGCCGGGGCTTTGTTTCAGCCAGAACTTGTCGGAACTCAGTTTCAGCACCTCTCAGTTGGGTGCCATTGCCATTCTAAGAGAACAAGGGTGGTACACAGCATACGCATTACTACCAGAGCAAATGCTAAATTGATCAGGTCACAGGAACAATGGAAATCTAAGGAGGCTCAACAATAGAATGTTGGACAGAAGACATACTGGATCAAGCAATAAGTGAGCAAATATATATTATAGATATGAAAGCAGGGGAAATCTGGAAGACATTTTTTGAGCTATTTGAACAAGAGACGAAAGCAGCATTGAACTGTGGTTCTGATTTAGCCTCACATTTCTTTTTGCTAAGCCCTTTCCCTCCCCCCTACACTTCAAATTCCTCTATTGTTGTTGATGTTGGTGGGACATTGAGTTAGGACTGGCCAGGGATGGGAGACGTAATTTTATGTCTACACTTTGTGATATGTAATTAATTATTTATTCTACTGATACTTTAAAAATTAATGAAATTTGTCATTTTTTTAAAAAAAATGGCAGAGCTCCCTTTGCACCCTGAAAATATGACTAATTTTTCCAGAGAATGTGTTAATATACAAGGAGCAGAATCAGAACTTTATGGACCAGTAAGCTGCATTATTTTATTGTGAGGAGAATGAACAGAACCCGCTCCTTCGGTAACATATTATGACATTTGGAGTGTTCTACTGCTTATACTGCATTTGGGTTAGTAATCCTGTGCTGACAGTCATACTGAAATGTTCTTGTTGTTATTCTAGAATATACAGAGAGAGGCTAATAAGTCAAATATTAATGCAGTGCTGAAGACTGGCTAGGCAATGGATGAGGAATTTGAAGAATGTGGAGAATGTATATGCTTTACTGTTCAATGAAAGTAGTGCTGTATTTGAATTGGCTTCCTCTTGTCCATCAGTTAAAACATCAAAAGGCTTATAATAACTCTACAAAAGGACCCCTTGAAGAAAGCCGGGAATTAGAGTCTGCAGACATACTCCTCATGGCACACAACCCCTGTGATCGTCATAGTTGATAGATCAAAGGAAGTAAACCGTACTACGTAGTACATTAAAAATCCATCTTAAAATATTGAATTCTTAAAACGTATCTTGGAACATGTGGCTAACAATTGAACATGTAAGTGTTACATATTTAAAGGTAAAATTATAGTTAGAATTGCTCTATTTGTGCTAACACAGTACTGCTTTTTCACACTTCTGGTATTGATTCATTATGTAATAAAAGCAGATAGCCAGGGTTCATAAAACATGTTTGCAATAATAGTTAGTGCATCAAAGTTCACTTAGATCATTCACATCCTGCACAAATCTGTGCTTTGTCTCATGGGTCTCATTGAGGGGAAGCAGCTAAAAGCAGTTATCTTAGAGTAGGATTGCTCCTTTGGGGCTATTAAGCAGTCATTGTCATGTCGGAAAAGTCAGCCTTCGGTATATTGAAAACTAAGGAAAACAGAAGGCCTTTTCACTGCCATTATAAGATTCAGAACTAATTAAACTATAGGCTAACCTTATTTTATTCACATTCCTAAAGCTAGTTCATAAGCAAAGATTGACGGTCCTTTTCTCTGTAAAGAGTTCCCATACCTAAGGGAATCTATCATGAAATGTAAAGACGGATTAAAGGAAGCTTTGACCTCCTCTGCCTATTTTTCAGTGTAAAACATGATAGCATTCCAGAACCCTGATCTAGCTCATTCTACTGTAGCATAAGCCACTTCCATTTTAGAGGGATAAAAAAGTTGTCAGGAGAACAGCTTGCTTCAATGTCATTCTTTCTTTCCTTGTTGTGTGGATAAACATCAATCAATCTAAATTGGCCAGAGCTGTCAATCTTACACACTTCAAGGTGATTTCCAGATTCACTGGGACAAATGTTAACACCTTTTTCTCATAAGGCTGCTGTTAACTTACATCATCAATGCCCAAGATCTAGTTGAAACACAATTAAATAGGATTTTTTGTGCCTTAAGTGCAGGGGTGGAAGCCTGAAGGTCATATTCCCTTCAGGACAACCTTTTGGAAGGTCAGATGCCAGTACCAGAGAGGCAAGAGGCAAAACTGGGCAGAGCAAACTAATGCAAATTTTACCTTTCTATCTATCCTCCATGAATGCAAGCAAGAGGCATTATTGGAATTCAATGACACATTCCAGCAACGCAAAAGCTCTCAAGGAGGATACAAAGCAGTGCTGCTGAGGGGTGTAACCTGAGGAAGAAGAGGTGTGGCCTGGATAGAGTTCAAGGGTCAGATAGACAGAAATGGAGGGCTTCGTTTGGCTTAAGGCCTGGGGTTCACCACCCCAGCCTTAACGCAACAATACTCTCAGCTTGCA